CAGGTGTTTGCCAAACTCAAAATGAATATCAAAAGGATTCTGGATGAGAGTCTGAAATGAGAACATGGGCTGTTGAAATGCACGATGAGGAAAAACCTGGGAGAAGAGTGTGAAAGAGGACGATTCCTGGCCTGAACAAAAGGTAAAAAGTCATAAAGTAGAAGGTTAAAAATTACAGGAGAACTGCTGTAGTACCTTGTGGTCAGAGGAAGGCAGGATTTGGCTGTATCACAGAGAGAGGAGCGTCCTTATTCTGTGTGCTAGATAAATACTTGGCTTCCTTGCTCAAACACTTAATACTGCCAACAGCCTATTGGGCGCAATACGCATCCATGTGCACACACACGCGCACGGTATATGCAATTATATGTAATGTTTCCTGGTATATAGGGTACAGAGATGCTGTAGAGATGGCCCTTTTGCTCTAGGGATGTGATGTCTGCAATACCTGTAGAAGACTGGTTTGATGGCAATGGAGGCTTGTTCCTGGGGAGTCCTTTAATAGCTGGATTGCAGGAAAACAGTGAAGTGGCAAAAATCTGCCCATGTAGCACAGAATGAGGTTAAATATTACTAAAAGCAAAGCAAGAATTGGTTGATTCTTAACAGCTATTGGGAAGCAACCTGAGGAAAAATAATGATGGAGTGCCTGATCTATAGAGTGAAGAATTGTTTCTGTCTTTATCCAGAAAATTCAGGTCCACTTTGCTTTGTTGTGTGACATGTTATTAAGAAAATGTGGGATAGATCTGTACTTTTGACATGTATCAAGCATGTGTAAACATGATATCCCATCTGGCTCTCTGGACTTAAATTAGAGATTTATTAGGACAAAAAAGGAAACCTAACACCAGCAGTCCAGTGAGCACTTGCATCCAGTAATTGGATCAGCTGTCCTGATCTCGGTGATGTTACCCAGGCTCTTTGTCAAGTATAAGAAGCGAGAGAAATAAAAAATAAAAAAAACATTTGTTTTTTAAAAAACGGGCTATCTCAGCCCAAAGCAACCAGCAAGAGTACTGTCTAGAGGACAATTTGTTTCAAAGCAAAGGAACAGGGTTTGTGCTTGGAAGAGGTCATACAAGTGCACAAGGAGAATTGGTAAGAGCAGAACAGCTACAATGTGATTTGATTCATTTTGGACTGACTTACAATCCTGAAAACCTACATGGAGCTGGTGTCTGAACTCTATAGGTGCTTCAGTCCGTACTGTTGAAGTTGTCTTTGTGGCCCCTGAAGGCCTTCAGTCCATTGGCATCTTCTTCTCAACCAAATAAAGCATTATGGACATTCAAAACGCATTTCCTCACTTATCACTAGGTCAGTTTGATGCAGTAGGTGTGCTCTCAGAATGCATTAACTTTCAACGCTTGAGGAGGTTTCTGTGTTCTTTCAAACCGCTTCTGGAACTTACCACTAAAATGTCTCTTAATTCTTTCTAAAGTTGCAGGTTTACACCAATGCAGCACTCAATCTCATTTTTTTTTTTACTGGTGTGAAAAAGCTGAAGTCATAAAAACTTGTGTGACTACAGGACATCAGGATAAAACAGCAGGTAAGAAAGTGTTTTAACTACCAGGAAAACTTTGATAATTTGGTGTTTGAGATCCAGTTCTATATAAATAAAAATTGCATAGGATTTAACTGGGCCTCAGTTGACAATTAAGGACTCTACCTTTCTAACATTCACAATTAAAATTTTAAAGACAGACAGCTACAGTTTATCTTGTTGCATAGGTTTCAAGGTGACTGTCACAATGCATAGCTTGATCTAAAGTCTCTGATTTTAGCAATCTTTGTGACAATTAGTGTGCCTTGTTTTCAGGGAGGAACAACCTGTAACGGGGTATATATAGTGAGATCTGGCACTGGGATTAGAGGCGGGTGCTGCTGTTGCATCTTTTCTCCAGGAATACAGAGCAGGATGATGGAGGCTGCTGTCACGAGCGTTCTTCCACTCAGGGTTGTCTTCTCATGACTAACTGGACTTTTATTAGGGTGGTTATTGTAATCTCCGACTATATTAAAACCAGTATTTTGACCTCCAAGTCTAGGGTAATTTATTGAAGGAAACCTAGGGAAGCTTTTCTCCAGAATGAATGGTGTTTATTGAAAGCACTCACTAGTGACTTAATGACACGGCTCTGATGAAAGGTGAGGTGACTGTACAGCATGGAACCTGGAAACAAAAATGTATCAGTCCTTTCCATTGTACTCGCTTTGATGTCAGTAAATGCAGTAAACACACTGCCACTGGTCACGGTACCTGTAATTTATGAAGAATCTTTATTTTCAATCTATTTAGGGGAAAACTGTTTAACATGTCTTTTAAAAACAATAAATTGTAAGCTGGCAAGAGGTTATACGGTACATTTGATAAATGTTTTCACGTTAATTTAGTGCAATTTCTTCTGCTTGCCTAAGTATTTAAGCTGGAATTTCTTTTGGCACAGTTACCTATTTATTAAACCCTCAGCAGGAAGGGCAGTTACAACCTACTTCATAGGAAGACCTCAGGCTATACACTCATCTCTTTCTGGAGGCTCGTATTGCTCCGTCCTGGCTGAGGTGTGTGGCTACATGGAGCTGCCTGAAAGGGCGGGCGCAGCAAGAGCTGGAGAAGAACTGTCACAACAGAACCACTGACTGACCTCGCCTCGTCTCTTCAGAAACGCTGAGAGAAGGTGACCCATACAGCGTCACGGCACAACCAGCTGCAGAGGTGAGTGACTCACAGCCATAGCAGCTCCTTCAGAGCCACACAGACTACCTCAATGTCCACTCAGTCAGCTGAGACTTCGGTTCTTACAAGGCTTTACAGTGTTACTTGTTTGACTGTAAGGATGAAATGCATTCGTAAAACACAGAGACCTCAAATCCTCCTCCTGTCACCTGAGTACTTATTTCTGTTTACCTTCTGAATTCATTCATATTCTGGGTTCTAAGGGCCATTTGTAAAGGGGCGAAAAAATCTTTCAGGCTTGCATAGATAGCTATTTCACTTTGGTTGTATTGTCAGCTTCTGTTTCATTTCACTGTAATAAAATTGAGACTTTTGATCCAGAAATGAAAACAAGATTTCCAGTTAGTAGCAAGTAACTGCCTCCTTTACTGATTACTTTAAAATACGGACAAGGTATTATTTCAACTATTCACAAATATTTCTGACATATTACAAAGTAACGTAAGAGAAAAAGATCATGATCATATTTAAAGCTAAACAGTTTAAAATGTTTACAAATGCATTGTTTTTTCCTTTCCAAAATGTTTGTTGATACAGTTTTGCAAGAGACTATCTGTTTGGTCAAATAAACTTCTGCTATACATACTGTGCTTTGTCCTAGGGGACAAATTGGAAAAATATTTTCAAAACAGTACTTTCTCAGAAACAGGGACTTGGAATATGACCTCTAATGGTCTTGCAACAGTGTCTCTGTGGACTTTGTGCAAGGCTTAACATGAATTTTTTTTTAATGATGGTTTTATAACATGACATGAAGCTGACATTATCTTACATTGTATTTAAGTATTTAAAAGATCTGAGACCTATTTCTTATATATATACATTTTTGAAGCTTTAAGGCTGCACCACTAACAACATATTTTATCAATCTTTCTTTTGTCATTTTCTGAAATGTTACAATTACTTTGTCAAATTTAAAATTGTTAGCAACAACGATGATGAAATGTTCCTCACTTAAAAATCCCAAACCAAACAGAAGAATTGCCCGGGAAACTGCACATCACATGCATGATACATAACTAAAAAATGAGTCCAAAGTTCTTTTAAATATTTAGTTCCAGCTAGAGCTGATAGTTGTTCTAGTTCTAAAGAATAAAATGTTTATTATATACAGAAGGGTTGGATGGAATATGGACATTTGACAAAGATCACTCAAGGCATTTCATGGTCTGAATTGTTCATACAGCATTAATGCAGCTGCCCTTTTTGCTTACACGTAGGCTTGTGCCACTTGTGGGAAGGGAACATTCCTGGTAGTGTCAACAGGCTCAGTCTTACAAGATGCAAATAATAATTATCTTCTCCAGGCTGCTCAGTCTTCAACTGAACCAGGAGTTTCTTGCAGGACTCGGAGCCCTTTAGGGCTTGCTCCTGAGCTAAATGCAAACTTGTACAGCATTGTCAGATGCCAGTTTACATCAGGTAAGTGTTTGGTCTTTTGCCTTCAGCATATTACAACATGGAAAACTGCAACAGCATTTTTCGACGAGCACCATTAACTGACTGGTAACGTATCTATTAGCACAACCAGCAGGATCAAAGAATATGCTTAACTCCTGTCTTGTACAATAAGAAAGCACAGCTGCCAATTACCTTGCAACTAGAGTCTGTAAATATTAAAAACATAAATATGTTAATAACCATACACATATACACAAAACACAGCAGTAGCAATATTACAGGATGCAATGCCTATTCTATATAACTGCTTTTTGTTAATACAGATGCAATACCAAAATAAATGCTATTTAATATGAAGCAAACCCTTCTTCAGAGGTCAATGGCAGTAAGCCAAAGTTCACGTCCAGGCTTGTACTAATCTGAGGTGACTCTGAAGCTAGATCAATCCCCCTGCCTATCAGATCTCATCAATGAAAGAGTAGTACTATGGGAAGACAATGACTATCAGTTAACACTAAACCTTTCTGAGCTGGAGCTTGCTTTTGCCACCATTTGTAATTAATTCTCCCTTTTCCACAAGTGCTCTTTGTGTGAGCACTCACCAGGCTTAACAGGGGATAAAGTTATTACATACCAAATATGATTTAGAGGTGAGGATTAATAGAAATGACCAGCACAGGGCTGGAGTTCCTGAATCCTGGGAGATGCTCTCCATGTTTTTAAGTGACATTTCAGTGAGATTGCACTTAGCAGATCTCCAACTTCTTCTTTTTTTTCGTGCAGTTCTGTTTCAAAGCTTGGTAGGAATAGCATGGGAAGGGCTAGAGGAGATGACTGTGCTGGTCCATTGTCTTTGCTAATGCTCTTCAGAGCAGCGTCCTCTCCTCAAGATCACGTCATCTAGTCCAATATCCCCTGTTTGTCCTTTCCCTTTCTCGCCTTTGAAAATAACCTGGGAAGAGAAATAGAATGATTTGAGTGCAAAAATAAAGTAAAATGAAAGAAGCTTTGGTTGAGAGAGGTCTCAACAGTAAGAAAGCTGAGGCAATCGTAACTGACTCACAAAAACCTATTTATTCTGCTCAGAATTATGGCTGTTTTTTCTGTTTGTGATCCTCTCCCTTCTTCCCTTTTGCAGGGTCTTTGTGAAAAAACAGCAGTTCAGGACAGAGTTGCTCCAGTTGCACCATCTGCTGTAGTGAGATGAACCTCCATGTAAGAGAATCTCAGGCACTTTCTACATATCACCTCTGTGCCTTTTTCATTGTCCCTCATGGCAAACACATAAAATCCTTTGTGTTCTGAAAAATCTTGTCTAATAGAGGAGCTGTCCATTGCTAAAGCACCTTGCAGCTGCCTTAGCTGTGTGAACTAGGAACACCCATCTTCTAATAAATTTTGGCTCCTGCAGACTCATGGTGATCTACAGAAGCACTGGCTCCTCACAAAATGGCAGCAGAAGTTTGGGTATGGATTTATGCAGATCATTAGCAGTCCAGACTTAGCCTGAGTAGAAGAAATTCAACAAATACAAAGCTTGACTAGAAGGACTGGAGCATAAATCAGAGATGATACACAGAATGGCCAGCTGACTTTAAGAAATGCTTCCCGTAAGTCAGTACTGCTCACCTGTGCTACTGCTGTAGATTCAGAAGCCTGAACTGTTTAATACAGTCAGTGTTTTTGACCATGGCTTAGAAATTATTCGAAGCCTGCAGCAAAACTTTGTAAGAGTCTGCTGTTATCACTGAGCTGGAAAGAATTAATACAGATTCATAGATCAGAAATTCAGCTGTGTAGTTAAAAATAATTTGGATGCTTGCTGAAAGCACACTTTTAAATAAGGAGTAGGAATGGAAGAGGTCAGAGAAACTCTATGTTGAATGTACTGAATTATTTTTTAAGAAATGAGTGATTTTGGGTGTACTTTAAAATAATTTACACAGAGCTAATTCATTAAAAAGTGTGATGAAGGATTCTGTTCTCCATCCATATTCTGCTCGGGGTTGCAGTAGGCCTCCCCTAAAATCAATAGTGTTGAGTTGCTTTTGGTTTTTAATTAGCTAGAAAATAAAGCTTCCATATTTCCTCTTGATTTGTCTGTGGCAGAGGCCTTGCTTACCTAGAGCTTTCTCTCATTCCCTGATCCTTGGAATAAGTGTCACAGTGGTTCAGGTCAGCAGCCCAGGCTCCCCATGCTGGCTGGAAAAGATGCCAAACTCGACTGTTCTGTAAGGTGCCACGAGGCAGCTCTGGTCTGTGGACCGGCACTCAGTTATGGTTGGCAAGCCGTGCTGACAGCTGTTGCTGAGGTGGTCAAGAGAGGCAGGGGACAGTGCAAAGGGGAACTACTGGTCTTGTCTGGGGTCTCTCAAACTCATTTGCTTTTCTGCCAGACAATGTATTAGTGATACACACTTATTTAATGAACTGCTCTATCAGGTGAGACAGACCTGAGGATTGCCAGAAGTGTTAAACTTAAAGAAAAAGGGTAAGAATGTGGCAAATATATTGTTCACCTGTTATAAATTTCCATATTCTCAGTCTGACATTCACTTACAGCTAACAATGTCAGGAATGTTTGTTACTATTGCAGAGGTAAAGTTTTCAGAAAATTATCTGCGGTAATTACAGCCTTAATATTAATTTTAGAACTATATTCTGCGTGTGTTGTAGCCTGCTCCCACCATGAACATTATGATGTGTGAGCTTTTTAGGCCCCCTGATATGTAAGTCAGAGCAAAATAGGCCCTGAAGCACCCAAGCCCCTTCTTCAGATCTGAAATAGAAACTACCTTCAAAGCTAAGCAGAGGTTAAAGAAAAATGCTGAGCTTTTGATATCAGTTTATTGCTCTGTTTCTGAGATTTCCAGGTATTAAAAGATTCTCCATGGCACTTCAGACAGCTTCTTTTGATTGCACTAAACCGTTTTGTGTTATTGGTGTAGTTAAGTCATCATTTACCTCCTTGGCCAGATCAGCTGCAGGTACACTGAAGAGCATAAAACCATGTGAGATTGCACACGTAACCTCCCTGCATTATCAAAAATTACTTATTTGCAATATCTTTGCCCTGGTTTAGCCAGTTACTAATCCACAGGGGATGATTCTTCCTATTTCATGGTATTGTGTTATTTAAAGCATTGTTCATGAGGAACCTTGATACAGGCTTTTTTTAGAAATCCATGTACAGTATGCCATTGTCCATTAGACTACTCTTTCCTACATGGTGATTCCCTTAAAACAGGCTGTACAAGGTAGTTCAGTACAGGCTATTTTGTCATTTCCTATATGTCTGTTGCTGTAGATGGAATTTTTTTTGCATAAAACTAATTTGAAAAAATGCACGACTCTCTTATCCTTAATGTGATTCCATTGGCAGGGATCAAAGTAGTACAACACAGGCTGAAACTGGACCCAGAAGACAAACAGTCCAGTGCTACACCATGTAAGCGTCTTCAGCTTCTCGTACAAAAAACCAAAAGGGAGCACATGCATTGGTACTTACACTCTTGATGCCTAGTCCTCGTAAAGTTATGTGTGTCCGTCTCCAGCCATGGCCACCATTTCTTCCCCAAACGGCTGGTCCGTGAGCGCCGTTTTTCCTCACAAAGACTTGGAGGGCACCAGAATGCAGTCCGGGCACCTTATGCCTAAACGACAGGCACAAGTCACCAGCCTGAGCCATGTGACCCAATGGCAGGATAAGATGTGCTACTCTTCCTTCTTTGCCTTTGGGGTCAGAGATGGTAAGATACTGTCCCCCTGCAAAAGAAAAAGCGGTTACCTTTTTTTTTTTTTTTATTCTACTATGTTGCAGGACCAAATGCACAAGAGTCATCAAAAAATAAAAAAGGGCTCCACAAGGTCCAGTGAGTCTTAAATAAGGCAGATAGTTGCTGGAATGTGAACCAGAACTGATGCATCTGCCTCCTGCGGGGTAAGAGTTACAGTGCTGGTCTTCTGTTTACATTAGTACCAGTTTAGGTCTTGCTCATCTAATTACTTTTTTACAAAGCAAATAATACCTCTTTTGAAAATGAAAATTTCATGTATTCCTTCATTTCTGACAACCCCTTGGTGACCACATGATTTTAAACCCACAGTGGCATTAAAGCTACTGTGTACATTTATGCATCTTGTAAACTGCAGTTTTTTGCTATTGGATAGATGAATGAGAAGGTCAGCATAAATGTAATCATGTAATTGAGCTACAGTTCTGTCCCTTTCCTTTTGTTTGGGACCTGTATTAACAGGTTAAGTCTCAAAACATATCCATTTGCAAACATGGATAGCCTTTTCATTTAACTGTAATTTAAACTTAATCTGGATTAGATATAGAAAGCTAGAAACAGTAGAGATTTCCAAATGGCTGTTAATTTGATCCACTGCCTGAAGTCTTCTCTAACAGTGGTAAGTTGTCAGTGAACATATATACTTAATTCAAAACCCTATTATTGTCTCTGATCATGTATAAAGTAAAGGTGCCTTCATAAAAACATCTAGAACATGAAAAGTAGAGTATCTCAGGTATGGCAACACCACTTAAACCTAAAAAAAAAAAAAAAAAAAAAAAGGCATGTACTTCCAGAAGTCCCATGCACCCTTTCACATAGACACTCAAAACTACAATAAATGAGATTTCACCTCTTGGAGAAAACCCACGCCTTTATTTTTTCTTTGTACTTTTCATTAAAACTTTTGCAAGGTGGATGATAACTTTAAAATCTGAAATTACCAGAGGGACGAGGGTTCATTTTTAAAAACAAAAATTAAAAAAAAAAAAAATCTTACTCTGAACCTAAGATTTTTTTTTTTAATAAGATCTGATTTTTTTAATCGTTTGTTTTGTCAAAAAATCCAAGCTTAATGAACTTAAGGTAAAGGTGGCATTTAGGTTCCTTAGTTGAAACCAAAGATGTAGAAATATTGGGGGTTTGTAATATTGTTGACAGAGTCATTACTTAATTATAGAATAGAAAAATATTTTTCATTGAAATTGTTGCCCTGCTACTACTCAACCAGAGCTTTATTTTTTGAAAGCCACAATGATTTCCCTCAAAAGCTGTGAGGTTTAATGACAATGTACCAGGGCTTGTCACACACTTAAAAAGAAAGCCAACCTTGTCTCCAATTCGCTACTTCTACATAGGTTTTTAAGTTCTTTGGTCTCAATGAGATTTAACAAAGCAAAGTAGTATGCTGCTGTCTGGGGCCCCAGATCTGCATTTGGGCCTGAAGTGGGATCCAGTTTGTTGGGGTGGTTTTAGTTTGGGGTTTGGTTTTTTTTTTTAATGCCTTGTTTTTGCATCAAGGTCACTAACTGCTAAAATAAGCATAACGGACTTTAAATAACTGCACCTGTTTGTTGTAGATACAATTATATCACTATAAAAGTACTGACTTGACTCATTAACTGCATCTGTTTTGGATAGTTACAGTGACTGAATCCAATCAATAGGAAACAGATTTAGGTAAGCACAAAGCCAACACATCTGTAGGCAAGCCCCTGCAGGAAAAGGTCCTCTCAAATCAGCATTTTCTGCATGCAAGATAAGCTTCTAAAGCTTCAGCATGGCACCTTTCAAAATGCAGATTCTGATAAACCAATAAATAGCAAACTTTGAAAGGTGAAAGCAAACACTCAGGAACAAGCTGTGAAAATAAATCCTTGCAACAAGGTATTCCAGACAGGAGGGAGTGGGTGAGTGACTTCAAGGGACTAGTTTTAACAGGTTATGTCAACAGCAGCAGAACATACACAGGAAACAAAAAGCTGAGATTGTCCCTGACTGGGAAGCAACACAGGAGAATAAAAAAGTCTAAAAAAAAAAAAAAAAAAGCCAGTTAAAAATCATAGTTCTGGAACTTAATATGCATTAACAACAATTTCTGAGTACAGCTAATGAATATGCTTTGAGCAACTTTCTCAGAAACAAAGCACTTTTAAATCCACTGTTTCAAAAAGATGTTTGAATTATGTTTGGTCTTTTTCAAAACACCCATCTGCAAGCAGGAGACAGCTACCTGTTTTCTCATCTGCAGGAGGAAGGAGATCTGCTCTCTGAGTCACTCATGAGACTTTTTAAGTGTCATAAGGAGCATAGGAAATACTAGAGCATGCCTGTGGGTGGGGAGGGGGCCTGCCCAGTAAGTGAAGACAGCATTTCCACTTAGCCAGCTAAACAGCCTGAAAAAGGTGCTGGGTCACCCGCTGTGGTGGCAAATGACTGTCTCATCAATGGCAGTGTAAGGACAGACATCTATGATGAGGTGGTGCGTAAGGAAAATGGTTCTCAGTGCCCTCACCCTCCCTCAACTTAACCTATAACATTTTACTGCCTGAGAGCGCATTTCCTTCCGAAGTCTGCCATCCCCTCACATAATGTAAGCATTGTGCACTTCAAAGGCTGCTCTTCTGGGTATGAAGTAATCCCATCATTACAGGGAGCCAGAGATGTGTGTCTAATCCCCAGCAAGCACTGTGGGGCAAGCACTGCTGGGGGAAGGGTATGCAGGCAAGGACAGCCAACCTCCCAGTGCCAGACAGTAAAATCAACAGGGGACAAAATACAACTAACTTCCAGCGGCGTAGATGTGCAGTTCTGTTGGGACTACACCGGCAGAGGTGTGCCAGTGGGAGGGGTTGCGGCTTTGGCTGCCCACCAGTACCGATGCCACTCTTCTCCTACCCTACAAGTGGCTAGTACACGCTCCCCTGTAATACTCATTGCAAGGTCACTTTTTACCATCCCTAACATACCCATTTTCAGAAGTCTCTGCATATGAGCACCTTCCTTCCAGTTACTTAACAGTTTTCCTATACACGGGCTGCTGTAACTTAGAGTAGAATTCAATAAAATTAAACTGAGAGGTTAAACTAGAACATTAGATTTGGCAGCAGAACAAAGACTATTTCCAGCCCTTTCTATAGTTTTGCTGGTAATATGGAAATAATTAGTTTGCGTGGTGGTTTGAAAAATAAGCTTTGTTTCATCATAAATAAAAGTTGTTTTCTAGTCCACATTTTTGTTCTTTCTGGTTCTTTTAAGACAGATAGTCTTTTACTGAATACATTTACTACTCCTCCGGAGACATTCCTATTGTAAAGATACCAGCTATGATAAAAGTGCAAATTCTCAATTGCTCTTTCATTTTGGGAATCCTCAGGTTTGATTTTTATACACAGAAGAGGTGTGGGTGTGAAATATACCCTGGAACTAAAGGGAACAGAAGCTGTGTAAATTTGTTGTAACATGAGAACTGTCATCAACCTCAAGCCTGGGTGGTTCTTCAACTACAGGATGTGATCGTACACAGGTATCTTACCTGACGCATCCCTCACTGGTTCCCAGTGCAAGTCATCATCTCTGTCCTTGATCCATCCGCACAGTCCACTATCAAAATTACAGCTGTGTACCAGCACACCTAATCAGAACAGAGCGTAAGGTCAAAAAAAAAAAAAAAAAAAGGGGATTTGGATTTTGTTGGTTGGGGAACTACAGCAATTTCCCTTTACTTGCTGACACTAGCAAGTAAATATGAAAATTAAATGCAGCAGAAGGAGCACTAGAAAAAGAATCTACAAAAATACTAAAACAATAAAAAGGATGCTAATATTATTAACAATTCACAATATTTTTCTGCTAAATCTGTTAGGAAATAAAACTATAAACATTCACTTAGATGGTGGTTTTTTTTTCTTTTTACAATGCATAGTTTAAACAAGGGGCATAAGATGTAGGACTCTTGTAAAAATGTATAAAACGCCAAGAAATCTCAAAAAACTCCTAAACCCTAGGCCCTGAACAGGAGATGTGATCTTTACCTGGGTCATCGTTTGCTTCAAATTCATCAGCGGTAATCCCTCTTTCAATTTCAAGTATTTCAAACAGATTATTGCTCACTCCAGGCTGGCGTGGAACTGTGAGAAAAGTAGTTTTTCAGAAATGAATGAGATAAAGGTAGTTAGTGACCTACTTCCTTATCTTTAATAAAAAAAAAGCAGAGCAGCTCTGGGCATTGTGCTTTTCTTGGAGAACTCAATATATTTAATTATATTTGACATGAAGATTCATAAACTTTATGCCTATGTGATTTATGATTTATGTTGTAACATTTATCTGAGCACTGCAAAAGGTGATTCTAAATCTGCTAGAGGCTCTTCAAATGAAAGCTCCTTTTTAACCGAGGGGCGGGGGGGGAGAAAAAGCTTTAACCTTGAAGCACACTATTCCCCTCCAAATGCACTTTTAAAGATAGCGGTTTCTCAATAAAATAAAGCCACATTAAAGCCCTTGCTCAAACTTTCCGATCCACTCACCTTCTACAGATGTTTATAGGAGAATCTCAACAGGAGGCAGTGGTACTTGGAAGAGGCCCCACACACACCTAACCTTTGAAACACAGCTGAAGGTACCTCTGTCTATCTGCAAAGGATTAGAGCTCCCTAAACAATTATCAGGATGGTACTGAGAGTTCAGAAGGAGGAGCTCTAATGGAAGCTGGAATTCAACTGTAATTATACTTTTTGCTTTCCAGCACAGTCTGTCTGTCCTTCAGCTACTGTTCTCAGCTGCAAGAAGGAACACTCTTGGTGATTAACAGGCCCAGAGGTTATTAGACATTCAGCAGGCAGGACAACCTGAAACTTAAGAGGTCTTTGTGGGAACAATGGCTGCCAAAGTCAGGTGGCTACAAAGAGTTCCACTTACTTCTGAAGACGCTGTGCCAGTCTGTATAAGTCTCCAGAAATAACACACCGATGTAATGCCTGATGGACAGCTGTCAACTAGAGATAAACAGATTGTACTGGATAGAGCTGTCTTGGAAATTCCTCTTTTAGAGGCAGGTCTAGTGCATAATTAATAACAGTAGTGGTGTGTTTCAGACACGTCCTTAGATGTTATAGACACATCTGACACGGTATTTCTAAGGGCCTTATCTATTAAAAACTTGACATGTTTTCCATTTGCAGTGCTAAAATAAGTATCTTAATGTCTCTATAGGCTTCTTAGGCAAGCAAGAACAAGAAGTATTGAGATGATTTACAATTCTAAGCTGAAATAAAGGACTGTTGTTTTCAGGAAATCAAATCAAAGGTAAAAAGGAACTTCTTTTGCACTAGGACACGTAAATAGCACTGCTGCAAGAGCTCCTCTGAACCAGAAGACAGAGGTGAACGAAAAATAAGAATGAAGTAGCTTCCTGCTTTTTGGAATTAGGACAGAATAAGCAGCCTGATAAAAGGTTGACCAAATGCTAATGTATTTTAAAAGTGGTATTACAGGCCACAGATCTTGGATGGAAATTTTGTATGTTAAAAATAAATAAATAAAAAGCTTGAAGTCTGTAGGAAACTGATTAACTCCTTAATATTATAGTAATTTTGGAATCATTATGTCTTTTTTTTTTTTTTTTAATCCTTTGTAGATTTTGGATTATGTCTATTTGCAGTCTAGGATATTAATGCTGAAACTGCCTCAAGGACTTTAGGTTGTCTTGGGTAGTAAAGGCCTGTTAATTTTTAAGGATACATTGTAATAATATTTTTGCTGCTTTGTTTAATCTGTGTTTTTGCTTGCCTGATTAGAATTTTGAGATTTAACATGAAAGAAACCTTACAAATGTGCACAGTCCACACCACCTAGGCCAATAATCACCCTGCAACACATTTATGCACAAATACTATATTAAATTATATAAAGAAAAAAATCTGTTTACCTCAGGCAGCAAAATATCAAAACGGGAATGCTCTAAAACCATCGTTCACCCTTAATCCCTCCCAGCAGTATACTGCTATCTTTCCTAAGAGCTCTATCTAACATGTAGGCGGAGCAGTTAAACAAGCCCATCATACAGCTATAGTCACACCTGCACAGAGGTGCTTACGGCACTGTAAGCTGTTACGACACGTAACAGCACAGACACTCTCACGCTGCTCTAACTGCATTACAGTCATGGACAAGCACGAGCAATAGCTTACGGAGTAGGTATGTGTGTGAACTGTCTATGTGTGCCTAGACCACCGCCGCTGTGGTACACACAGCAGCTATTGGCACCATTTAAATTCAGCTGCAGTGGGTTTGCTCAGGGATGTTAAAAACTGGTAATTCAATTTGCCAGCCACCTAAGACAGCAAATTTTGTAGGAGTATTTACTTACAAAGCCTGCAAAACTAACAGCATCCTGTAAGTTACTTACTGTCATTTCTGGCAGGACAGTGCTCTGACTGCAATTTCGCCTTAGATAAGCCCTCACAGCGGAGTTTTTGCCTTGCGTTACAACCGCGCTGCAGGCTGCTGCTCCCTGGAATGCAGCAGTCCCCGTGCACGAGACATATCTATGCTGCACCCCCAGGGACTATCACCTTGCTTTTCCTCTTCTTGGACTGTGCTAAGGAAAAAAGATACTGTTCCTTTCCTACGCTATGAAGAACAAGTCGGCAGTCCGCTTCAAAACTGCTGAGCGCAGCATATGTACAGACCGTAGCTGCTAGTCTGGAATGGACGCGCAGCCTTTTCTTGAAGTATCTTTACATCTGCCACATCCACATGGCACAGGGATGGAAAGAGGCCGGCCACAGCAGCAGACGGAAAAGCAAGCTGCCCTCTCCCTGAGCTGCAGGAGGACTCCAGCCTGTGAGGAACCTCACAGTGCCATCGCTCGCAGGCCCCCACATACACACCAGCGACGGGATGCCCATATCGTCTTCTCATCTAGGTTAACACTGAACTTAACACTCTACACATCCATATCTTCCTGTCCTTCCCCTGCCCCTTAAGTTTTTCTTGGGGACTAAAGCTCAGACCACAGACTCACAGATGGTTACAGGGCTCTAAATGAACACTGGCAAAGAGCATTGAGGAAACCCACTGCCATGCTCTAAGATTTGTAGGATACTCGGGGGTCACAGTCTCAAGGTATGCGCTTGCTCTGTGGATCCCCTTCCCGGTCCCTCAGAAAATACTGCAGAAATATTGGGAATTTATTTGCCAAGCTACTTCAGTTTACTTACTAAAATACCATTTCTAATGCACTGCTATTTTTTTACAAATCTGAGTTACATCTGTGCACACACACAAGCATTCCCCAAATTAAAGTTGATATATTTGCCTATAATTAAAGCTCTACAAAAAAGTATTTCTTCAAAACTTTATTCCCTAAAGTTCTCTCCAAACAGTGCTGTTATGAACTTCTAGAAGAATGTGTTGCAGAACTTTAAACCAGTCACTTCAGTGCTCAGAACTAATTAGAGGAATGTGCACTTGATATGAAACAAGAGTTACCGTAAGAGATGTGGGACTCTAAACCCACGTGTACACTTCTTTTTGCCACGACGACTACTATGTTGAGTGGTGATCATGGGAGAAAGCATTTGGCACAATTATTTTCTGCAAGCTTTCCAAGCCCTTTCTGTGTACTTTATATAGTGTATCACTGTGCTTTTCACTTGACTTCAATGGTTTGATAAATCTTGTTAAATATAAACTTGGCTGCTTTTTTCTTGGAGAATTTTATAAGCTCTGAGTGAGCCAATACATCAACACTACCATATTCTCAAAGTTCATGAGCGAAGTTCTTCATAGATGCATGAATGTGGGGGAAGGACATTTAATAACTGCAGAAGACTGATTTCTTATCAGCTCCTTAATCCTTTGGAAAAACAGTAGGACTTTTTTTTTCATTTACTTGCTAATTGCTGAGTTTGGGAGTGTAAGAGATGGTGTGTACATGTCAGGTTATTTGTAACTACAGAATAATCACTGTTTTGGTGTTACAAAACCAAAACAAAACATGGAGTGCGCTTCATGTTATTAGTAATTGTTACTACTATTACTAATACAGTGTTCTGCCTTGCAACAAACACTGTGTTCTTACGCAATTCCATTCCACACAATAATCATGACCAAGTTTCCCATTTGTTAAAAAAAAACAACAAAAAAGGACAAAGATTTTTTGACTGAATAGTTATGATTGCAAGTTGTTAAATCCCACTTCCAGAAACCCCACACAAGTGATGAGATCTCACACAGAACTAGTAGAAAAGAAGGGTAGTCCAGAGGTCAGCCAGACGTAGTAAACAAGAATATGTCCTGTTTTCCTCCAGGGAAGACTTCCATACATGCTGGGCTAAAAAGGGGCAACAGAGAGGTACATTTCACCCTTTTATCTGGATACTTGCAATGTCCAGGATATATTGCCTAAAACTCTGCATACTCAAATTCTGCAGTGAGAATTATTTCAGGAAGGGCTTTCATGGACTGTCCCACCCTCTAAAAGTACCATCTGCATAAGAGGGGAGGGATGGTGCTAGTGTGCAACCACTCTAAAGTCCAGTCTTGCACTTCTCAGGCAGTTACAAGGCTCATTAACTTTGACCTAAATCGAACATCTTATTACATATTTTCCCAGAAGATTTTCTGAAAAGTAACCTGCCTGCTTTTCTGTGAGCAGCTATACAGGAGGTGCAGAGTGACAACTGAGTTTCAGGGAAGCACAGCTAAAATAAGCAGTCTCCAGAAGCTTGTGTATCAGATCTGGGGAAACAACTAGCTGCAAGACTGATGAAGGGTGTGATTTGTAAGAGTCCTAGATCTTATGATTTAGCTTCAGAGTACAAAGAGGAACAAAGTGCCTATATTAATGCTTAAATATTAAGACAAATACATTTTAATAGGTGCCAGAACAGTGAAGACAAATGAAATGCTATTGTAAAATGATGCTACTCTAATGATACCAAGAAATAACAAAACCCACATTCTTTGATTTTAGCATTTCCCTTTTTTCAACAGCTTCAAGGATCACATAACTGCATTTACTGCACTAAGGACTTTTCAGGGGGAGCAGAAAGAATCAAGTTTTAATCCAATCGTTAAATTTTGTTAATAGCTGTTATGAGAAAAGTCTCCTAATTCCAATCTTTTCGGCTCCACTAAGGGCTAAGAAGGAAAATTGCTGAACTATCTTTTAATACAGATAAGGGGTTTTGTTCTTGCTCTCCTGATATCTAGTGTTATGCTTTGTCTTTAAGTTTATGCTCTTAATGCTTATCGCCCAGATCCCGATGGTAGCAGAAATTCAGTCTTGCTGAGTATGTTCTATTTGTTAGAGGCTTTATCCGAGTAACCAGAAAAGATTCCTCAGTACTTCACTAGTTTGTATCAGGCCTGAAACAGTTAAATATTAAGCCATCGCTGCATTCCTCCCTCATTGCCATTCCCCCCATATCCATATCAGGAGAAGATTATCCTTGGTGCCAGATTCCACTGTCTGCATCTGACTAAGTGGTTCAAAGGCCAAGTGTAGGAATTCCATTTTAAAAAAATACTCATTTTTTTGTTGTCTGAAAAAGCAGCTCCCCGAAGTCACTGTGGGCATTTTTAGAAAAGGAGTAAAGCATCTAAAGAAATGCAACAACCCAATACCTTTCAAAAATTGCAAAGGTATTTAAATAAAGTTGTCAGCACTATGGTCATTTGTCCTCTGTCACCACTGAACAGACCAATTTCATCGGTCCTCAGCTGATTTCAAGCTGAGCAGCACATTCAAGAGTGTTCTGAAGTGAAAACTTAGGACAAGTTTACTCAGCGTGTGGGATGGCAGGTCAAATAACAACGAAGGGAGAAAATAGGGAGCAGCAGGTTACCAAGGTAAGCTCAGGAAAAGGTCAAAAAAATAAAAATTAAAATCTGAGAGATGCTTGCAGAAAACAAGTACACTTGCCCAGGCATGTTTCCTCTCCTGGTGTGGACCAATCCCAGACCACCTGTTGTTTGCATGATTTGGCCTAGTGCACTAGGACATCTATCAGTGTACAGCGCGCCAGCTACCCCTTTCCCATGGCTTGCCTGACAGAAGTACCACCTATTCAGATAGCTAAGCAAAGCAGCATTTACTGTCATGCTGCTTTGTCAAAGTCTGGCTAAGGCTTCAGAGCCTGAGGGAGAAAAAAAGGAAGGAAAAAGTCCATGCATCACAAGATAACATAGTTTAAAAACACAACTTTAAATATTGAGGTCTTCAGCAGATGCTAAGGGCTGGAAGATCAGAATTGCCAGCAGCTGCTGGCTACAGTGCTCTCTGTGCTGGGTTTTGCCCATCCTTGTGTGACAAAACACTATATTTTGTGACTCTTTGGGATACAACAGCCCCTGGTGACACACAAGGAAGCAGCCATCTAAGAAGACACCATAACTCTTCTGAAGCCTTTACAAAACTGAAGTCCTACTTCATGATCTGGGTGGATCTAACATCAATTTCCTCCTCTGTTTTTCAAGACTGTAAGTGTTATAAGATGACTGAATTGCTGCCTGCATTCTCCCATGGAAAACAAATAAGGAAGGCCAAGAGTGAGGCCTTCTCTTCTCTTTTCAGGCAGGCATACGGGGACCACAGTGCAAATTCATTTTTGAGCTTCTTTGCTGCCTCAACTGGAGAAGCAGATGATGTGGGGAAATGAACCTAAAGATGCTCAGCATAAGCTAAATGAAATTAGCTTATATCCACAACCCAGGAATACTGCAAAGATGTCTGATGTGGGTGAGATTAAACCAGCAACAGTTCTGAAGGAATTAGCTGAAAGACCCCCTTCCCTGAGGAAATAGAGGCAAGTGAAAAATCCACAAATGTTTCTGGAGGTGTGTGTGGGGGATGTTGGCACATCCACACGGCAGATAAGCAGCATGTCAGAGGTTAGCTAAATGTTACTAGTTATTTCAGCTTAAAATTCTGTATTATCTTAACATCATGATCATTGACATTGTGTTTGGCTGTGAGGAATGCTTTTTGAGAGGCTCTGGCTTACGCTTGGAGGAAGTGCTGCCTTTCTGAGCTTGCAGTGCCTCACAGAGAGCAGCTGCAGCCCAACAGTCAGGCACACAGCGACCCACGGGCCCGGAGCAGGGGCAGGGCTGGCCTGCAGCACGCCAGCAGGAACCTGAAGCTTAACCCAGCTGGCAAATGCCATCTATAAGCTAAGATGAAAGGCATTTGAGCTAATGCACTTCACCTCGCATTTGCCACCGGCCAAGAGCACGCAGGCAGCCAGTTCTGCAGCCCAGCTAAGGGCCAGGAACTTGGCACCTGGCAGCAATGCTCCCATGCTGCTGAACCCCTGGTGTGATGACATTTGTTGAGTATCTCTGTATTATCCTCAGAAGAGCAGGTCTCGGAGCAGGCGAGGACGAGCTGAGTCATGCCCTGAACATCCCATTGTAGTAATGTATGTGGTTATAACTTTTCTACCTGTTTTTCTAGATGTCCCACATAAGGAAACGTAACTTCACTCCTTCCCCAATAGATAAAGTAACACCTTACTCTACAGCAATGCTTTCCTTGACAAGGTAGCGCATTCTTCTGGAACAGAACTGTTTTGCACCTGACTGTAGTTTTCAAATCCTAAACAAGTGCTTTTGTGCACTCACTAAAAAAATACCTCTGGACAGAGAGAAAGTGGGAGGGGACACCAGTGACCACCACCTAGATAATACTTTCAAAGTAGTCATGAAAGACGGACGGAGATGGACGGACAGACTTCTGCCACACAGTTATGTCACACACATGTGTGTATATCAAGTATATCTTTAGCATGGGATAGAAGAAGAAATAATATGGGACTCAAGACACATATCTATCGACCTCATCTGAGGAGCTATCTGTCCCTGTATTACCTAGTGAAGCCAGTAACAGTTGCTGGTGCTTGACCTGTTGGAATCCTGCTGTATTGCGCACTGAAGCCTTTGAAGCTACGTATGTGTATCACAAACCTCAGAGGGTGGCAGCTGACCTAAACAGTTGAGAAACACTTAGCAGAGATCAACTTTTCATGTGTTTGTTTTATGTACCATAATGCAAGCTTACAGTCAGAAAACAAACTCTTTTTTACTTTCGTGCTTTCCAAACCCCTCTATCTCAAGCATACGTATTGAAAGCATTAGCTTCAAAATTGAGCCTCTAGGGACAATACAGAAAGACGAATTGTAAATAATAAGCTTTATACAGATGATTGTTATGACTTCATGAAAATAGCTGAAAACTACCCCTCTGCTTTAGAATGCCAGAGAACAGCTGCAACACGAGACAGCCTGGGAAACGCAATGCTGGGGTCTAGAATAATTTCCACAGAATTCTGTATTTTTAATTATTGGTTCCCATTATATTAAGTTTTGGGAGTCTTTACTACATTTCTTTTTAGAATTTTATGTAAAAATGTTTTTATATTTTGACCGAATATAGATTGTTTAAAAAATAACCTTGAAAAAGCCAAAAGCACACTCCTCTGAGTAGTACCAGGATTTATCTTCCCAAATTCTAAGTCAGCTTTTGTCTCCATTTCAAATTTATCAAACTGTCTACAACAGATAAGATGTCATCAGGGAAAACAAACCATTTTTTACAAGGAACAAAATATTTCACTGTGTAATGACCTAAAAGAACACAGTCCAAGAAGTTACCGCATAGATGCTAAAGCAACTGGAAAAAACTCCCACGTTGCTTGTACACCTGCTCTGAGACAGCAAACTTTTCCTCCTACTACACTGCTTCAGCAGCTTTACTGTACAAGTTGAAAGGAGAAGGGCCGATGCAGTACACCCTTCCCGTCTCTAAAATTAGCGGCAGAACTAAAGATGAAATCGGGTGTTGACTATTTCTTGGCAGACGTGTAACTCTGCATGTGCCAGTAACGTCTTCTGTGGTATGCACTAAAGCTGGTGTAGAAATGGTGCTGTAGCTTTCAGAGCAGCTCTTAAAATGACATGTGTTCATGCTATGAGAATCTTTACTATCTTAAGTTTTCATGTACCTATTTTCATAGATGCAGTCCATAAAATTAGCCTCTATGTTATTTTTATGCAATTTTGCCATTGCTTAGTCATAAACATCCAAGACTATTTGAATTCATACAATAAGGTAACATAACAGAGTCTTTAAATAATCAGATAGGGTCCCATTTCTTAGCGTTCTTAAAGCTAAGGAAATACGCTAAGAGTGACTCTGAACTCCCTGAATTTGAATCCAGTAAGTATTTATGAGTTATGTGGCATTTCAATATTTTTCAATAAAATGTCTTTCGTTCTCCAAAACTTTCATCTGAAAGCGTAATTAGGTTAAGCACTTATAAAGGACGATATAGTCACAAATAATTTCAGGAAGAAAAACTGAAATTTTTAGTTGAGTTGATCCAAAATTTCCTCCCCACAATTATTTGTGCAGCTTTACCATATGAACACTTTCAGTTTTGTGGTTTTGTTCTCACTGATAAAGTGTTCCCAAAAAAACCCCAAACAATACAGTGCATGCTTTCACCTCACTGTATCTACAATTCTGATATATGAAAGGATATGTAAAATTACTTACTGAACACATCTCCGCGGGGTTTCTGAGGGTCTATCTGGATCCTGTTGTCATCTCGAATTCCTTGGGAAGATGTAGTTTCAATGGGAACATGTGAAGGCTCTTCAGTTGTTATCAGAGGAGTTCTTTGTGGCGGTAGTGTAGGTCTTAACGTTGTAGGTTGAGGTGGTGGTGGAGGTGGAGGCCTCGTCACTGGCCTTGTTGTCACCGGCACATACCTAGTGGTTGGCTTTGCTGTCAGTTGAGTTGTTGGCCTGGGTGTAGGACGAGTCGTTGGCCTGGTCACCGGCCTTTCTGTAACAATAGCAGGTACATATGGTGGTCTGAGGGGTTGCCTTGTGTCTCCAACACCAGGAAACCTATTGGTTATACCATTGCCTCCCTTAGGAAGCGTGCTGTTGCCCTTGAATATATGATATGGACCAGGTGGTTCAATCATAACATTGGGAATAACTGCAAAGAGAATCAAAACAGGACCAAAATGGACATCCGAGTGTCTTGCCCCAGAAACTTAACAGTGTATTTCATTATGACATGGAGAGTCTTTGCTGAAATCATTTCTCTTCTTCCAGATGTTTCCACTAATCCAAAACATACTTTAGCGTCAGCATTGCTGAATTATCACATCCCTTTAGATAGCACTTCTCATTACAGCAGTTTAGAGATGATTTAGAATGACTGAAGGCCAAGAGACTTCCACCCTCACCTCCTCCCAAGCATCAGCTCTTTCAGAGGTGGTAAAACTTACCTAAAAGCACTGTTAGTAAAAGAGCATGGACAGGAAGATGTGTGTTAAGCAGCTCTCTAAACTGGACAAATTTGTAGTCAGGAGCGGAGGCAAGTTTAGTAAGACTTCAGTGTTACAACCATTTTGGTCATGGATGGGCAGATACCTTTGGCTTAAGAAAGTTATCTTTCAGACCTCTCCACTTCTTCTAAACTTTTCTCCTTATCAATAAGCATTAATCATTTTACAGAGATTGAACCTAAGCCAATAGCCTTCATTTACATCTTTACCTTTGCTAACACCAGGAAGCTAAGTAAATGGCATTTTTTCAGCCTCCACAAAAAGGAGGTGGTGAACTAAGCACCACCTACACCACAGTGACAGTGCCTACAGTACCATCTCCCCCAGTATTTCATACAGGACAACAAATTTTAACTTGGTTTCAGAAGGGGAGTTTCTGCAGACATGAAATCCAAGAACATCTGTTTTGTTATTTATAATTTTCTATTTGTTACTAAGCCTTTTATATCTCACTGGAGATCTTAAAAACCTCAATAAGAACTCTAGTCACATATTTTGTGTACAAGTGTTTCAAGTATAACACACAGTTAAAATTAAGAACTACTGTTTGTTAAACACTGAATTGTTTGATGACAGCAGGTAAAAAGGTTTTCTCTCTGGCAGCCTGTTTATTACTATTCTTTTGAATACCCTGTGGTGTTTATATTACAGTATATTAAAATATAAAATGCACTTTAGGACTATGTCCCAGTAACACATGAAGTGCATCCACATATAATTGCAAGCACTCAGGTTGTGAAAGATCACCTTAGCCAGATCACATTACCGTGACAGCTGTGACTGCTACAGCCAAAGGAAACAAGTCCACAATGGTACTGCTCTTTAAAGAGATCAGTGAGTCACCAAAGACCAGAACCCATGTATGAACACAGGGTCCTCAAAAAGATTCAGCAGATGTCATAGAGCTGCACAGTCCTGAGGGATGTCAAACATGGGGGAGCTCTAATGGCCTATTCTGTACCAAGGGGGAGGGCTGCTTCTCCCAAGAGAGGTGAGGAAGGGAACTCTCCAACAGGGAATGCTTCCAGAGAAATCCTCCCTCTCAGCTCTGCTCACATCTGGGGAGCAGTGGGGAGTGGCTGGGGTGAGCTGCTGAAATGGACCAGTGGCAGAGTGTACATAATAACAGGGTATGAGTAATATGTACTGTTAGACCAGACCTACCCTGCTTACTCAGTTCTCATCCTGAAGCAATCTCTAGACTGAAGCTGTGAATAGGGAGAGGTGAATTTCTTTTTAATTATGAAAATGTCTTAGGGAAAGGTATTTTTACCAAGGCATGCTAGGACTCAGAAAACTCTAACTACATTCCCTGCTCTCTTATGAAGTATTAAAAATAGTTAAGAGAAAATGAGCCTGATAGTGCTGTATGTCAACATTTACAACATGGGACACATTTACTTTCAGAATTCCTTTTTTAAAAGGAGCATTACATACGTATGCAGTTTGTTCCATTGTCTCTGTACCCTTCTTTACACTTGCATTTGTAGGATCCTGGTGTATTGTAACATCGTGAAAAACTGCCACACTGATGGTGGCCAAGGGAACATTCATCTATATCTGCAACAGAAAGTTATGTTAAAAAAATCATTCACATCAAAGAAACTTACTTTCTGCTTATCCCTGCAAAAACACAAACAGTAGTATGGTCATTAGGGAAATATTATTAATTTTGAAAAATTTAATAAAACTGAATTGCCAAGGAGAAAAGGAAGATAGACAGTCACAAATCAATGCAATGATACAAACGTCAGGGTAAAAGAGACTATTGTGCAACTCTGGTATTGCTCAGCTTATACTTTAGCATCAGCTTCAGTGATGTGGTGTGGGTAGATTGCAGTTGAGATCATGAAGATCACAATTTTAATAACCACTTCTTGAAGGTGACATGATAAGAAAAGAAAAACTGAGTGTACGAATATGTATGTTCTTAATCACACAGGTATTAAACTGTTTTTTCATAAAATGCTTCCTCTGTTATACATCTGTATAGATGTTTCTACATCAAGCAGAAACCGCTTCAAGCATCTTGTATATTATTTCCATGTTTGTTGTTACTGATGCAAGCAAAAATCTCCAAACTCCAGTGCTCTGCGTAGAGATTTCTCTCAAAAAAATATACTTAAACAAACATAAAGCAATGCTTCATTATCTCCACATGATCCTTTTTTCAGTGAAAGGATCGTAACTAGTCGAGGCCCAGGGAAACTAAGACGGTGGGACCTGGGAGCATCTTTGTTGAAGGGCACACACCAGCTGCATTCCAGTCTCATGTCCAGACAAAACCAGGTTATTTCCTAACCCCAGCCTTTTCCACACCTGTCTTCAGGGGAAGGAAAGTTCAGCAGCCTGGTTGGAAGGAGCTGGGGTGTGCTCTAGCCACATTTTTGTATCTTGGATCTTGAGGTATGCTACAGAGCACACCTGAGTTACAGCTCAGACATAGCCTAAGCTCATATACTGCTCCAAATCTGCAACTGCCTGTGCACAGTGAAACCTGTGGGGACAAAGGCTTTGGAAAGGAATTCCTGTAGTCATCAGCTCTGCTCTCCCACTAGGTTCCACAGGAGAACCAGTTACAAGAATGGGGCCAAATATAGGCTTTCTTTTTCACAGCCTATTTCTATAATCCACTCTTTCCTAAAATAGAGGTGCAGTGCAACCTAGAACAACCTGCTTCAAATTTTCAGCCATAATAAGCAAACATTCCTCTTTAAACCATCGATTTCAGTTTAGAATATGCAGCTCTGTTACATGCACTTTAGAAATAAGTTGTTATTACCATGGCATTGGTATTTGCCTCCAATGTACATTAGATCAAAGCCTTTATGACACCTGCAAATGTAGCTTCCAAAAGTATTGACACAGTGCCTAAATCGTGGACAGATAACTCTCCCAGTAGCACATTCATCAATATCTGTGGAAACAAAGGAACTGTATTATTCTTAATAGCAGTTGAAATACAACCTCTACTATCTAAATTAAACTAGTTTCACATAATGAAAAACTAAAGAAGAATAGCTGAAGTGTTTTTGATAACATCCTTTTGGCTACAAGCTGGTCAGCCAGCACTAACACCTAAGCACTTCTTCTGGCTGTGCCATCTCAGTTCAGCTCTTGGTCACACGGCCGAATTTTTATGCGTCCTGTGCCAGAAGCCTTTACAAATACTGTGAGTGACAAGAGATGCACTGGCATAATGAGCATTGCTACTGAATTTGGAATGCTTCATCTATGCTCTTGCCATCCTGGTACCCTTCCCCTTGGAGAGATGTTCTGTAATTCCCCACAGAAAGCATGACAGCTTCTTGAAGGCCTCAAAACACTCGTCCTTAAAATTGTAATGGTATTTGTCTGAAGAAAAGCTGTATCATGTTATTTCTATAGCTTTGTTTTGTCCCACTAAGCCCTGCCTGATCATAAAGACAGCACCTGGATTTACAGACAAGGAATAATAATAAAAACTACCCCAGTAATTCTTTTTCTGAAACTTGCCTGAAATATTGTTCCTGTAGCACAGATCACACACGCCTATTCAAAGTACATCACCCTGCAGTAGGAAGTGGTTTGTGTTTTTTAAAATCTCAGGTGTCCCTAATCCATGACCTGCCCATTGAGTCTATCAGGAAATCTTCAGCTTTTCAGGACTTGCTCTAGACAAGCAGAGTTCAAGCTAATGACAGGGGTGCAGTATTTCTGGGCCTCCTACCAGTTACAGTTACCACAGGCCAAACGCTTTTTGAGTACCTGCTCCTTGCAATCGCTTACCCTGCAGTGCCTGTGCAGTAGCTGACCCTTCTTTCACAGACAGGCTGGCAACTTAAGTGACCTTAAAATATCTCTGAGGTTCTGAGATGCATGGCTGCCATTTGGCCTGCCAGGGGCTCCCAGCAGGACCTGAAGCAGTGCTTCAGCAAGCGACGTCCAGGCAAGGACAGAAGAGACGGTGTCCATGGGCAGACGCAGGTGATGCTCAGTAAATGACTGATGCCCCTCCTCTCCCAGATGATGCTGTTGTTCATGCTGACTCACAACCCAGGGAGCAGCTGATGCTCACCCAGCCCTGCTTGCACTGCCTGGGAAACTCTCAGATGAGGTCAGGCTGATACACAAAAGATGCTTGCGCTACCACTCACTTTGTAGCCCTTGGAAACCGAGCTGAAGCCTGCTGAGTGCTTGAACCCTAATTCTTCACGGAGGCGGAGGCCTGCCATGCATGGCTGCCTCTGACGCACGCCGCTCCTGACATTTGTCGGTTATCTACAGAGCACAGTTCAAGCCTTTGCTCTGCAGCTCTATCAGGAAAGTGAGATTTTGCTCTCCTCCACGCTGTTCTTTCCCCAAAAGGAGCTCTTCAGCTGCAGGTGTCAAGAGTGCAAAACAAAGCTGAGTGATTGATGCCCTGCTGCTTGTGAAAGAGGCCTGAACAAGGCAGAGAGAAGCCTGAGTCTCTTGCACAGCACAGGAAAAACTTAACCACAAAACTGCTGGTTAGTTAGGGCAGCTACCTGAGGCAGGGGAGGTGTAGCTTCAAATTCTCCAGGCTGTGTTTCCCCCAGCCAAAAGAAGTGACCTAGAGCCATGAATTACTGGCTCGATGGGGTGCGCCAGTAGCTCCTGCTGGCACTGTCCTGCTCTGCATGAAGAATTACTGAGGGCAGCAAGGATTCAGTCCCTCGGCTCCCACACTCCTGGCCCGTCAGACTGCTCTGACATCGCAGCTCTCCTTTACTCTCGGTCGGGAGCACTTCTGTAATACCGCGGTAAACGCCTGAATGAGAAAGAAAACGAGGCCAATACTGGGCACCTCTCCACACGCCTGAATCTCCCTATAAATCTGCCTCTTGGTTTGAATCTATTATTACATTTTTAGGCTTTGAGTACATTATTAACAGTTTTAGAAGTTCTACCATGTTCCTAACTGTTATTTAATTTACAAGCCACAATTTTCTGCCCTTTATTAAAATATTATTTCAAGGCTGCAAATTTTAGACTCTTGATTACCATGAGTTAGTTGGGGTTCCTTGTTGTTGTTTTTATCTTTAAACCACAACTTCAAAAAGCAATTCAGTAAGAAAAAGATTAGCCACTGAATATACCTCATCATGGCATGGATTATGTTCTTTAAAACCTAATGTAGCTTGTCCTGCCTTTCCCTCTGAACATATTCATGTTTTTGCAAATTCCCATAAGGCAAGAAGTATGTTAGATGATGAGAGCACTGTAGTGGTATTGTTCAATTTTCTAGGCAGTTACACACCCTAAAGGTATAGGACTGAACTGCTAATCAATACACTGTTGAGAACTGACACAAAAATAATGGAAGAAATTAACAGTCTACTACTGGCATTTAATATGAGAGGTGAGTGGATGCTCATTACTGGTGGGAAAAACACTTTTCGATCATTAACCAGAAGCTGGTATGCACGTGCTTACGATTAGTTTCCTGCAGTTCTCAAGTAGTACAGTGACTGTGGCTTCTTTCAAATCCGTGGACCCATGCCAATTCACACCTGGGCCCAAATGGTGTAAGGCTGTTTCCCTTTGCCTGCTGCAACATGCTGCAGCTCATGCCTGCTTCGTATGAAAACTGGGCCATGAAGGGGTGATTTGTATTCTGATCTCAGCCTGGTCTGCCATGGGGGTACATGCCCAGGCTTAGTGCCAGGGAGCTGCTCCAAAGGCACATAATACAGACAGCACCTAATAGGTGTGATGGCCAGTGTTCAACAAACAAGCAGAATTACAAAGTCTTGCTTCTCTCCTGCTGTATGACCATATTACCAATTCAAGCAGTAAACAACAATGAGATTGATTTAAAAATAGGATGATTTTTAAGTTTACAAGGCCATATTTTCAGGTTTCTGTATACAACCAAAACAACTAGAAAGAATTTATTTTACAGTGAAAATAATTATTTTCAGTCCTCAAAGAATTTCAGACCTTCTGAAGCTGAAATGTGTATACTGCTAATTTCATTAAAGTCCAAATCCAAAAAGCTGGCAACACTGATTTATTGATTCAAGAGTCATTAATCAATTAATTAGTCAATTAATCCATATTTTGACCAAATACTTTCCTGAATTCTTTTTCAGTTCGTTGTTATTTAGTTTATATGATTTACCTTCATAGCCAAATTGTTTGGTGGCTCTTTACTGATTGTCTGGAAAGTACATTTTAAAAAAAGAATCATCAGCATGGGTTGAACTAAGAATAGAATAATGCCTAGAGGAATTTCCACCTGTGCTAAAAATAAGCATTACGTTCCCAGCTGTCTTTCAAACTCTCCTCAAACAAGGATTTCATGAGCTGCAGCCAACGCACACTTCAATTTTTTTGTCACCATCTACGCTTCTATTTGTACTACAGCAATACCCAGACCCTCACTGGAGCTGACGACCTCCCCAGCAGTGATGGGCTTGTACACATGTGAGGAAAAGGCACAGTCTTAGCCCCAAGTAGCTTCAATTCTTGGAGGTATTTACTGGTTTTAGTACAACTCAAGGTCAATAAAGAAATAACACAAAAAGGGTGCATGTCACAATCAGTTCTTACCAAAAAAAGGCGAGTAGATCATGTTATGATCCATGAAGGACAGACATCTCTTGCTGTGACTACTTTCTCTGTATTGTACAAGACTGCACTGAAATTTTTGTGAAAAATTTTAAAAATGGGTTATGAGATCTATCTGAATGATGCACACTCAACTGAAATGTGGGTACATAGTTCTTCACCCTTCTGGGAAAAAAAGTGGAACTACACTAAAGAACTGAAAGCACTTCATAAAACTACATAAATGGTTTGAGTGCTAGTCGTCAGCATTAAAAGTGCACTTTGTTTATTTCAAAGTATGAAGTTTGCCTGAATATAAAAATGCACACTAGGAGAATGTTGCAAGTATTTTTCTAGCAAATTTCTGTACTTACTATAACAAGTTATTCTTTATACTTAAAATCACTCAGCTCACTATGGCATGGCACAAGTCTCTTCCAAAGATCTCTGTCTGCCTTAATGTCCACAGCGTGATTAATCACAATTCAATCCCTTCAGCATGTGACAATGGTGGTTTTATTTTCCTCCTGTTCTACCTATTCTTTTGCATACATAGACGTGCCAATCATGCACTTCAGAAAGCCTCTGACTTAAAGCTGAGCCTGCTCCTCATATCAGAAGATGTAGAATCTGCCCCTTGCTCTGCCAACAAATTCTTGGTCAGCATGGGTCAGCCACTTGGAGAACCATCTCCCCTGTGGACAGCCATGATACCCGGATGGATAATTAGGGGATCCACATTCTCTTACATTCTTTCAGGTGCAAGTGTTGTTACTGGTTATGGAACTGTAGCACTGCATAGGATATAAATAATAAAATCACTGAAGCATCATATCCACTCAGGTTGTATAGTTAATGACTAATGAAATCACATGTCACACTGTTCTTCAAACCATAGTAGAGTGTGGCACAATACCATCTGATTAACCATAAGCGCCTTTTCTGTGTTCATGAATGTGGGAACAAAACATTTCACCTTTATACAGTCTGAATTCCCGAGTTTATTTTTACCTGGAGTTTTTGGAGTATGGAAGAAAGACAGTAGCTTCAATCCCATTAATATTGGGAGTGTGCACAGACCTTCACCTCGTCCCAGTACAATCTCAGTGATTTGCACAAATTATCCCTCTACTCCCTGAACCTAGGCACCACCTTGTTGGGTATGAGGGAGAGCTGACCTCCCCATTCTTTTTTTTATGCAGGCAGGTATTTTGAAGTCTCTGTTAGCAATTGTTTAAAATGACCCAGTAACAGGAGTGGTAAGGGCCGAGGGCTTGGATGCCAAGCAGCCCACGCAAGTTTTATGCAGTCAATGAAACTTGCAGGACTGGAGGAAAATGCTGGCGATCTCTGACACAGACCACTTGAGAGCACTTGAGCAAAATGCCTATCCCAATTCTCATTTGTAACGAACGTCTTTACACTGCACGTATGATGCATTCTAAATACATCTGATAAACTCTCTTGAACTGTGTTCAGTGTAAGGATAAAAACATTTTGGAGAAAAAAAATTAAATCTACATTTGATCACCTACCTATGCAAGTCCTTCCATCAGGCCCCAGCTGCAGTCCTGGAGAAGGACAGCGGCAGCGTACTTCCCCTTTCAGTACATCACAGCCATACTGACAGTTTGCCATTGAGCAAGAAAGGGCATCTAGGGAAATATAATTTAACATATTTAGATAAGGACTCAGATCAGTACTAGAAAATGACTAAAAACTTTGGAGAATTAAGACGTCATATAATTATGACAGAAGTGGAAAAATGCTTATTGAATTTGACAGGTGTCCATTCAGGCTTTAAAAAGCAAATGCATATGCAGTAAATTTTTTCTTTCCACAAATTGCATCTCCAAGGGGAAAAAAAAAAAGAAAAAAAAAAAGGCACAGCACCACAATTATAGCAAGTTATGTCATGGAATGCAGCCCGCATGAGGAATATAAAGCCCAGTATGTACTATAAACCCTCGTGGACAGTCCTGCCATTTTCAGATCAGAGCATCTTTAATTAAAGGTAATTTCTCACCCCTTCTCTCTATCCAGACACTTAAAACATCCACTTTTATGGGAGCAAGTAGGAATCTGATCTCCAGAGAGATGACAATACAATTTTATACCAGCCAAACAACCAACATCTGCAGCTTTAACGACTTTACATTCATAAGGACATAACACAGCGGAACTGCAGGTGTCTTGCTGCAATGAAAACTGCAAGTACTTGTTCTTGAAGGCCAGTTAACAGTGATTTACAGCACTGAAGAATGCTTCTGGGGAAACTTGTAATAAAACTAATAAAATCAAAATATTTGCTCTTGTTTTGTTCAGCCTAATTTCATTAGAAAAAAGCAGCTCATCTTGTACAACTGCCTAATTTCCAGCAAGATTAATCTTTTACTTTGGGACTCATCTTCATGTCATAAAAGTTTCCCAGGGAAACCTAAGCAGGGATCTTGAGGAGCTTGAAAAAAGCAAGCAACAAGCCTTGCCGTACTTGAGCACGTTCCATCTGGCATAAGCATGTAGCCGTTCAGACAGTAGCACTTGTAGCTGCCGTAGGTATTCATACACCGGTGTTTGCACGGCCGTGGCTTTAGTCCACACTCATTTAGATCTGAAATGAAAGGTACATGGGAAAGGGGTGGGAAAAGAAAACATACAAAGTATGTGTGAAAAAATTACGACTTCAAGTTCCTGGAGAATGAAGGAAAAATATGGCAATCAGCTTTTTATATGCAGTCCAGCTGATTAGCAAGTGTCCATAACATCCTGCATGAAGCACTGTTCACCCCTCCTGCCAAGTGGCGTATATTCTTCTGTTTCACAGATATCCTTTCAGAAATGACAGTATTAGCATTAGATTAAGTGCCAACAGAAGTTTCATTAGGGAATGCACAAGCTCAGGCTGCCCACATGTTGCCACTATTCACGTTGATGCCACATCCAGAACCAGCCAGAGCTCTGGAGAAGAGGAGGGAGAAAGCAAATATCACTGCTGCAATCACTATCAGTGATTCTGATAGCGATTCAGTGATTCGCTCTCATGCTTCAAAATTAGTCGCAGAGGAAGGTAGGAAAGCTGATGCAAACCTACTTTAAACAATCTCACAGAGAAGGTGTATTCCTTACCATCTAGAAAATACTGAAAAAAAGTATCTGACATCAGTGATATTTGTCAAGGACTATCCATCAAGGCTGCTATTTCAGATTTAAAATTTAATACAGAATTCATGACTTAAACTGAAAATATTCAGCCTACAATATTCGTATTAGTAGACAAGGCTTCTAACAAGAAGTAACAATTGAGCGAGCATTTCCTTCAGAATTCTCTTCCAAGAAAGAATACATGTTGGTTTTATCTGGGTAAACCAGAGTAATTTGTTCCTTAGCTATTTGTGTACTGATGAATAAAGATGACAATAAAGGTGAAAATAATAAATCTGCTCACAAATCCAGCCAGCAAGTATTTAAATGAATTACGGACCCTCATCTCTAATATTGCACAATGCTGTCTGGAGGTCCATTACAGTAAGAGTCATGGTTATTTCCAGGAACTTTTCAAAGAGCCATCTCCACTGTTAAGCACATTCTCATCAAAAGTCACTCCCTAATTCACGTAGCAGAAAAGTAAGCCTTGGGGTTCCTACTGTGTGGTAGACACACAAACACAGTAACCACTTTATAAAATGCCAGCTGAGAAGGAGGCACCTGCTTTCTATGGACTAGGTGTGGAGGCTTAGAGTTAAGACGTTAAAACAGACAGACAAACATACCTCTGGTTAGAATGAAGTCAGTAATTTTTAACAGTGTTCATGTGTATCATTGAATCTGTTGTCTTCTGACCTACTTTGTTTTCATGCTCATGGGGTCAAGGAAGAGCAAGCGTCATGCAGACAGGTACTTGCCCCTCCCCAAACCCTTTCCCTAACCGATGGATATGACTTTTTTTTACTTCATTTTCCAAGGCCTCAGGAAGAGCAGCAGGTTTAGGGATAAGAATACTTCCTGCTCCCCTCTGCTGCAAGAGGGTAGCGGTAAGGGACATAATTTTCCCTTTCTTCCTGCAGAAGGCTGAACAAGATGTTTCTAGGAAGCCTGAAGGGAAATGTTTGCTTCTAGAGTGGCGAGGAAGACCAGGTGAGCGTCAGCAGGACTTCCGTGAGGAAGAGTTGCCAAAATAAGGGCTGGACCTGTGTCTGACAAACAAGGAGTGACAACTGTTTCCACAGTCTTCCTGCGGATCGTGCATCCCTTTTTCAACTCTCACTCTTTGGGAGTCTGAGAACATTTCTGGAGTTGCTAGGAGAAGATACTTCTCCCAGCAGGCACCAATGCCACACTCACAAGAGTGTACCTGCTGGGTTTGAGCTGTAGAAGAGATGTACATTTTCTAGTGTGAAAGCGGGATCTTCAGCTAAGAGTTGCGACTGTTGATAGAGTACGTGCGTATGTCAAATGGCAAAGCAGCAGATGATGACGCTAGAGGGGAAGGGCAAGCTTTTGTTGTGAAAATATTTGTGTTAAAAAAAATTTACATAAAAATGCTCAATAATAAACAGGTGAAAGCTCACATTTTGGGAGGCAGACTTCTCTGGGCATCACAAAAAGCTGCTTTTTTGTTTCTTCTGTAAAACTTACTACAATTAGGCAGCTCCTGACAGACATTATAGCTGCTTTAACATATTTATTACACATGCAACATGTCTGTTAAGAAAGTCATTGTTAAATTCAAAAACTCTGTTAGTTTGACTTCAATTTATAAAAGTACCCCCACAGAGCCAACACTATTGACTATGCTATTCTGACAACAACCATTTTGAAGTGAGAGAAAGAAAAGTTCTAGAAGTCTAAAATATCTGTATTCTTCCTCTTTTGTACATAAAGCATCACTTTTCAAAATAAATGCATAACAGAGCTAAGTACAAAATACTTAACTAGAAATAGGGACAGAATGAGGAAAGGTAATGCTGAAATTAAGCTGACAGGGCAGGATTTTAACAGTGCCCGTGTTAACTTTTAGTGCTTGCATCCCACTGCACGTCAGCTCCTAAGTTCAGATACTCAGGAAGACTTTACCCTCAAGAACTGTCTCACATTTATTTCCAGAGCTGCAACCACAGATCCAAAGTTGAAAATTATAAGAACTTATGACTGTTCTCAGTTTACCACCTTGCATAAAGTATAGATTACATTATAAGCCTTAAATAATTGGATCTTTCTACAGGACTCTGAATACTACACCGCCATTTGGTACAGAATATTCTTAGTACAGAAATGAAAGCTCTGGTATTGACAAGTAGACAGCTATTAGTAACATACTCTGAGAATAACCTGATCTGAAAAAGTAGGTGCAATCAACTGTATTAGGATATCACATCACACGCTTTTCGTTTGTGGAATTTTGACTAAATTATTTCTATTGTCTTCGCTTCATTCTATTTCTGCCTGTCAACAAATGCTGTCAACATCAGCTTTTGAGTCACATCTTAAAAAACATGCTGAAAGTAAAATGCCTGTGCCTTGAAAAAGTTCAAGTTTTTTAACCTTGCTGACGTTAACAGAAAGCTAAGGTCACAAGGCAGCAGAAATAGGCTGTTAGCACAACTCCACTTAAACCTAAACCTCATGTGTCGTGGGTTTTCACTTTTGCCTTTGAAATTACCTATTGAGAGAAAGATGTTTTTAACCTCGTGGAGTCAGAAAGAGTGCTACTGTTTAGGAAAACAAGTACTGGCAGTGCTGTGGCCGCTTTAGAGAGAAGCCAGCCTGCAGGTAGGTTAGGTGTGTTAGAGCATACTGCTCAGCCCATCTTATTTTCCCCAAAATGCAACTCTTCTTTTCACCAGCACAGACAGGCATATACTCGGAAACCGCACGACAAGCACCACTCAGTTTCCTAGGAGGCACATTTTACAACTACTGGCAGGTCCTACTGGTTCTACATAAAGGCCTGTATGAATACGCTGACAGCTCTCTTGATCCACCTCCAGGCACCCACAATCTGTAACAGCATGCTTCCCTAAGAAGAGTCTGGATGTACTGCACGTGGACTGGAGGAATGCTGAAACATTCCAGCTATTTATACACTCTAGCGGTTTGTGTGTTTCTTGTTCCTTAAGTAAGGTCTATTTTTTCAAGAACAGGTTCAGGCTAATGTTAGCAGTCAAAAAATCAGCCGTAGCAACACACCTCTTGAACAAATGCTGGTTACTTATCAATTGTGTATTTCAGGCAACATCTATGAAGACATCTCAGTATAAATGTCTACGCATCAAAGGAGGAAATAAGAAAACAGTAGAAGTTTCCTTTAAAGAAAAAAACCTGAAAGCTAAATGTATAAACTCAAAGGCTAACAAAAAAACACTTTAGCATCATTTTTCTTTTTAATAAAATATCATTATTTCTTCTATATAAAACAACTTTTGATCTCACACTGGAATTTAAAATATAAAGCCCAACATTATTAAAAAGTTTAACAAATCCGATTAATTTCTTCACAGGAACGTCCACTCACTGCCCTGCACTTGAGAATTTCATTGTTCAACCACTTAAATTCCCATGTTGCCTACAATTGTACAGTCAAAGCAAAACCAGCATTCTTAATTTCAAAATAACATAAGACAGTACTGTACATGAAAGCAGACTGACAGTTTTGGGCACTATGAAAAGCAGGTCTACAACATAAGCGCAGGCTGCTGAGCACAAGTATTTTATTTTTAAAGAAATGAAATTAAAATGTGACTGCAAGGAAAGGACAAGAGTGCTATGCTGGCAAATCTGGATGTGACTTCTTTGACTACTGTGTGACACCACACATGATCCTGAATAATGACCGACTTGAGCACACACTTAACAATGGGGCACTTCTTCCTAGGAAGATGCAATACACACTGCTATTTTCTTTAATTATCTTCTGCAGAAGACTCCAGCACTCAGACCTTTTCTGCCTTTTTCTGCCTGTTAGCTAACTTGGATCAGGCAAGACAGAGGTCAAATATTCAATACCAAATTTACTCAGACTTTGAAAACAGAAAACCAGGGACCAGAAACCAAGTAAAAAAAATTAAACTGTTATCACCATATTATAAACAGTAGATCAGCTTTCATTTCCAGCAACTACCATCACACTACCTGTCAAACCTGACAAAATGATGACAGGAGATTTGTATCACCCTAAGAGAGTTTTGTTCGCATCACTTAGTCTGATTAACCAACAGCTGCCAAGTGCAGACATTAACAACCCTCATTTTCTTCAACTTCCAGCTTTATGTAAATCACAGTTTTGTCTTTATCTAACCCGATAAACAATTTCCATTGCTCTCACTTTACAAAGGAACTTGGAAACAAACAAAAAGTGCAGGCCCTGAAAGAAGAGCAGAGGAAACAAACAAAAGCAAGTTACAACCATGAGTGTGGTGGAGAGTCAAGCCTTTTCAGAACACAGACACACAGCATCAAGAAAATGCAATCAGTTATTTGCTCTGCATGCTAATGACACTGCAGGTTCAGCTTTTGCATTACAGCCATCAGTCTGGTAGCCTCCAACCCCTTTGCAAGAAATTGTATTACTGTTTCAAGCCGTGCAGGTAGAAGGAGCACGCCACCTGAAGTACAGGACCATCTCACCCCTTGATGCTATATTTCTTGCATGATGATCCAGGGGGTGGAATAGAAGTGCTGCACTGCTCTGACCAGGTGGACTTGTAGATAGCTGCTCATCTTCATAGGATAGGAAGAAGGCATAATAAAAATGAAATTACCAGATCTTTGTAATATGCATTACGTCATCATTAAAAAAAAAAAAATCATCTCTCCCTCTCTCTCTCAAGTGCTGACAAGAATTGCATTACAAAACCAGAAAGTAGCAAACTTCGCATCACGTTCCTGGAACAAAGAGGGTAAGAGGACAGTAAGTTATACAGAAAAGCAGCCTTACATTCTTTGCATAAAGACAACCTTTCCCAGCCGCACAAAGTTAACCTGCATATGCTTTAGACTGCCAGCAAAAATCACAAGTTTTCAACTATTTGTATTTGTCTATGTGAAAATAGGTCTTACTGAAGAGCAGGTATCAATTTTCTGATGAACACATTTTGAAAGAAGTATTAGTTCCGTTATTATCACTACAAATTAGAGAGCTGGCACAGACTGTTTTCTTTTGAGTTGCTCAGCTTTTTTCTTAACCAGTTACAGCTGTAAACCTGGGATCAAAAAGCTAGAAGGGAAACACTAAAGCCGCTCAGGAGATTTGAATGCTGTAGGGAAAGCACATGGTTAGCTCTTGTGCAAAGTCACTGCAATTTAATGGCTGATGATAGCAACAAAATAAAAGAAGTATCAGCTAAGCCTAACTTCTGAGTGACCTAAAGTGAGGTCTAGATTGCCACAGCAGCTGCAGTGCCACTGGAAAAGGGCAAGCATCCAGGCATCATCACACAGTCAGGGTTCAACAGTTCTGCTGTGAAGGCTGGGTTCATCTCTTGGATTGGTCCCTGGAATACAGCTTGATCCACGAGGGCCATGAGAAGATGTGATGTAAAGCCTGTTTATCAGCGTTTGTACTCAAAGAACACCTTTCACCAAGAACCTGAGCATACAGCCCAGCACCATTCAACACATCCTAGAAAGACTTCCATCTCTGCAGGGGAACTCTACCATTTCTTCTGCCAACACCATTACTTTCTGCTACTGAGAATTATTATTCTAGAACAGAAGTGAGAAAGATGGCCCATGGACTGAACAGGACAGGTGCTATATTAAGGCATAACAACATAGGTCACACTTAACCTGTGTGATTTGAATTTCCTCCCGGCAAAAGCAGACTCTGCATCCACTATACACTTTCAGGTCTCATCCTAACATGGAATCGGCACATGGCAAGAATGCATACCCTGACCCCAGGAACACCACAAGGGTCTCACCATACAATAGAAGAGATATAGGCTGTAGTCACCTGAACTGGTGTACATTTGGGACACCACAGTCAAAAGGCATCTCAGAAACCTCACACACATCTGCCATGGTAACTTTGCCACCAATAGCATGCAAGAATATTTGATCAATACTGCCTAAAAGGCTTCCTTTAATCGTTTATCACCACATTTTTTTCCTTCCTTAGCATTTAGTGGAAAGTGAATAGCTTAGTTCAAGACTGCAGCCTCCAGCAATCTGCACAGCATTCTTGATATTATGAATTAGTATGTGTAAAAACTGTTACATATACACATAACAACTGTTAGTTCACTGCGCAGTTTTCTAAAAAAGTTCCAGACTGACCAAAACAGGTGCAGAATAATAAAATCTTAACAACTACCACAACACCAGAGTAAAGGGAAAAGGAGACAGGATAATCTAAGAGGTGACAGAATAAATAAAACTTAAAACAAAACTGAAAAATACAGCATTCATTTCCACATCAGTTTTGGAAGGATTAGTAAATCTGAAAATAAATATATATCTTTCTTACAAGAAAATAATTCACTCTAACACATCAAAAGAAGGTTAGCAAACATCAGGGTACATATCTGAACAGCAACATAGTTCTAAATATCACACTTTTCTACCATACTTCCTCAGCACTCTCAGAAAACATATGAACTTTTCCTGCAGGCTGAGACAACTGGAAAAGAGAACAGTCTTATTGAGATACCTTTGCATGTGAACATGTCTTCGGCACCAAAGTCTAATAAATCGTGTATTACAATTCTGTTTTATACTCTATGATCTTTATACCATTACATGTTTTGGAGATCAGTTTTGGCAAAGAAACTACAATGAAACTATATCGATAATTCAGTAAAAGAACACTTCATCTTTCCAACTCTGAAGTATGCACTACAGTTTATTGCTACCTAGGTAGTTCAGGATTAGAAACACAAAAACTGGAATGCATGCATGAATTTTTTTTTAATTAAACAAATATTATTTCACTATCCAAACCTGAAAATTGTGAATTTATGAAATAAAAATCCTGACCACAAGATTTAAATAATTTGATTCAGATTCAGAAGAGCATGTAAATACATACTTTACATTGATCTCATTGATTTAATCTGAATGAAAGCAATTTTTCCCCTGTGTCATCCCACTGCAGATGTCATTGTCCCTACAAATGTCAGTCCCAATATCAGAATAGCTACAACAGTATCTTGGTCTATGAGTTCATTACCCTATAAACGCAGGTGACACACACAGCATTTGGAGGGAGAGGGACCAATACTTCTATGATTTCAAGAAGAAATTTTCTTGGACTTCACTTTCTTACCTTGGTTGCAGGTTTTTCCAGTGTATCCCGGGTGGCACTTACACTTGTTTGGCCCAATGCATTCACCGTGTTTGCATCCTGGCTGACATATAGCTGCAAATAGAGGAATATTCATTATTCTTCCACTCCAGTCATGGCTGGCAGCGCTTTACTTTGAAACAAATGGCAATGAGCTAACAAATAGTACCATTTATGTTCCTCCCTTCAGCATCATTATATGCTTCAACTACTACTGTTCCAACATCAGGTGCACCTCCAAAAATAACCACCATCCCAATACACGTGGGAAGAGCGAGTTACTTAGTAGTAGTCTATTTTTCTACAACATTTCATTCTGCTGTTTCTGGGATATTAAACCCTTTTAATATCTCATCAGCAAGCAGACACTGTGCCTTCACTTGCTCTCTCTATGTATATATATACTATGATTCATGCCATGGAATTCGGTAAACCTGGAATATGCCCCAGCTATATAGAAAACACGTACATCAGTGTCATAGGTGACATACAAACAAAACCATAGTTCAGTCACCGACAGGCAGTAGCACAAATCCCGGCATTCACCGTTTTCCTCTGACTATAAGGCAACACTCTTCACCCCCTTATTAAGCAATGTTTTGCCTAAATCTCTCCCTTTTGGGTGTTTGGATTCGGCATGGGAATTATTTTTATTTTCTTTTCTTTTGGAAGAAAACAGGACTGGGTAAAAGCAAAAGCAACACTGACTGTAATATGCTGCTTTATCACTGCACATATCCAAATTACTTCTACTCAGAACATTTCAAGCATTTATTACCCAACCTGCTATACAGATATAGTCTCAGAATGTGAAGTTATGGTCTACTCTGCTTCCACAGTCAAATTTGCCAAGTAATTTCTAATTCCCCAAATGGAGCATAAACACAGAACTCCAAGAAATAACAGCTTGGAAGCCATTTTTTGGTACCTCTCTCAATATAACACAAATAAAATTCATAAAACAAACTTTTAAAACTTCAATAATAAAACAAGCATTGCTTTTCAAGAAATATAAGAATTCATGCACAAATGCATTTCTACTGATGTAGGATAGCTAACAGGAATATTTGCAGAGTGCAATGAATCCTGCCTAACTCTGGAAACCATTTTACAGCTGAAAACTTTAAACAACATTTCCAAGTCTTTTTTTTATTAGAAATGTCTTTCTATACTAAACATACTGTTTCAACCTACTGGAAAACTAAACCATTTGCTATCCTCTAAAATGTTGTTTATCATTATATGACAAAAATGCAGATGCAAAATTCTGGTGAGCTTACTGTTCAAGCAAGATGGACACAAATTAGACAGAAATCAGAGGGTGGCATAACTTGAATATCCTGTAATCAGGATTTACTATTTGCCCTGGCTTTAAGTTCATTTTCTAAACTAACAGTATCATTTGGAATTTGCAAAGTAACTAACTAGATCCAGCTGTAATATTAATTAATCTGACAACAGGCTGTATCATAAAACTGCATGTGTTAAGGATGTAATTTAACAGAAATCTGTCAGAAGGCACTCAAAAATTTAGCTTGCATTCTAGCCAAGCTGTTCAACAGAGTTGAATTAAACAAAATTAAAAAAGGAACAAGAGATTAGTTTTGGTTGTGGAAGAATTATGTAAATATATCTCTGATGTTCTAAAATCTTCTCCATTAAGATTGAAAGCATTCAGAATCAGCAATTCCCACAAATGCATCCACAGAAGCAACTGTTGGCGTAGGAGTTTGCTCCAGTTTTAGGACTGCATTTGCCCTTTGTTATCAGGGCGGTTTTTTGTTTAAACGTTATATATACACACATATATATGGCCAGTGATATCCCCCGAGAAGATAAAACCTTGTTTTAAATCTACAGCACAGCTCTTGACGGATCTTCCTAACACAACGGTGCAGTCTCTTTTCTAAAACTGTCTTAAGGAATATCTTAAAAGGCAACAGAGAGGAATGTTTCTAGTTAATGCAAGATATTTATTTTTTTTCATTAAACACTGTCCAGAAACAAAGAAATGGGATTCAGATTTAGAAACAACTCTCAATTAAAGCATTTGGGAAAGGGGTTGCTTAGACTACTAAAAGATATGTTTCAAAAAGTATGCCCTTGGGTAATGGACAGATTTGACTGAAGAAGAACTTCTAGAACATTGTACCTGGAAAAAATTACTGCTTTTTTAATCACTATGGTCATAAGCAGGAAAAAAGATCTTCTTTGTGTAAGAGCCCATTTAGGCACTGAGACTCTTATCTTCCTGACATCATAGACCCAAGTCTAATTAGAGGAGATGGTGGCAAAATGAAGACTATGAAGACCAACTTCATGACTTTGAAGTCACTGGGAAAAAAGATGTGATCTAAACTACAGTAGATAAATTACTGTGTTTTTGAAAGCTTCCATGAAATTTCAACCACACTTTACAGAAAATCCATATTGTGGAGTGGGATACAGTTAGGTAATAATTACTCTTTAAAAAACACAAAGCATCATGGGATCAGCTTGGTGTGAAGTGTTACAGTTCAGTAGCTGAACCTGTGGCAACTTTAGTTTAGCTGACTTTAAAAAAGTCTTGGTCCCTCCCTCAACTGCATAGATCATAAATTAGCAGCAGCTCAGATAGAGATAAAAGTTCTCATGCTTGAAGAAGAAAAGCCTTATAAAATTCAGTAATGAAATAAATGAGATTTTCATTTCATTTCAAAATGAAAACGTTCCTCTAATTCAGAAGGTCAAATACGTTTATATTAGGAATTGGATGTTTTGCTTAATTCTCTGTTAACCACATAGGTCAGATACCATACTAGAACAAAAAATATGTATTAGCATTTGTTTAAAACAAATAATATACAACTGTCTACAGATATGAAACATGTAACATAGAGCATGTTACTAAATCAAGCAATCGGATCTATGTGATCTTCAAGAGATCATCTAGTCCAATACATCTCAACAAACGTAGCTCCATACTATGCAGTATTTAATGTCTTGTATGACACACAGGTCAGTAACTCCTGATCTAGTCTACCACCTAGTCTCAAGATATAATTAAGAAATGCATTTAAATCACATGACAGATACCTCTCTCCTCTGTTTTTAAAAGTCTCAGTTAAAGGAGATCTCAGCCCCTCAGCAGTCTACAGCTTCAGAATCTCTACTACCACAAGGGAAGCTTCCTAACGGTTAGCAAATAAACCACTATCGATAAAGCCAAAGTCGTCATAAAATGCTTTTTTTGCACATTAAACAGGTATTTGGAAACCTATGTTTCCTGCCAAACACCATACTTGCAGAAATCCTAGTTATTAGAGTACATTCTGTGCACTTTGGCCACTTAAGTATTATGCATCTCATTTATACACAGCTGCTGAAATTCAATACAATGAAGAATTTCAGGAATCAAGCCACCCTCACCAAGCAATTTGTATATCCTCCCATTAACTTGAACAGGGGGGTGGCTTTGCACAGTCCTTAGGACTTCAGAAGCAGACAGCGTTCAGCCAAGTCCGCACACCTGGCTGCGGTTCCACCAACCACATCTATATGCCCTTCCGACTGACCTTTACCGGAGTCACCGGGCCCAGAGAGGTGGGCTGACTCAGGCTCTCATCTGCAGCCTGCAAATGCTCCCTTCTCCAAAGGAGGAGCATCCCCTGCACTGCAGCAGAGGTAACACTTGCTGACTCCCAAAGGGTTCCCTTTGAGCACGGTCAACAGTGAGATTCAGGTATAAAAATAAGCTTGAGCCTGCCTTTCAGCATTTCTTTTAATATCAGGCAGTTATTTCAGCTGTTTGGTATGAGTCTAGGCATACACCATATATGCTGATGTGACTAGGTTTTTTCTTTGAATTTTCCACTTTACTTATTTTCTTGCAAAATTCCAGATAGAATAGAATATTTCAGTTGCTCTGGTCACACACAAACACATGGAGTTTATCCATTTTTTTAACACATTAAGATTCATAAGTAGTGGGGAAAAAAGTCTCCCAACTAATATTCTTTGCATCTTGACAATTTAAAAATTCTCCCACAACCGACCACAACAACCAATAGAACATCATTTCTTTCCCATCAACTCACATTTACAATGACTGAAAAAAACCATGTCCATGGACTTCAGTCTGCTACGTAACACTCGCTTCCCTACTAGGCAAGAAGGAAATGTAGACAGTGGAGAGTTACATCAGGCTGAGAAAGCCACTCTCTTACACACGTAAGGCAATGAAGTCCAGAAGATAAGAGTCTGAAAAAGTTGCCAATAAGAAGCAAAAACTTTCTACTTTTTATAATAGTAATTGTTTTAAACAAAAGTTAAAAGTGCACTTGTATAGACAAATGCCACTAAAAACAAGATTGCTAATTTATTGTTGAATCAATATCAACAAAGACCTACCATTTCTCCAAGGATTCCTCTCTGAAAACATTTAAATTCCCATTGGGTAGTAACGTGGACTGAGAGAGAAAGAAATCCTAAGCACAGCTATTTTCTTCTTTAGTCAACCACTGCTTATTTATCTAGGCCATAGAATAAACTACAACTAAACTTTCCATTTCATTTTGTTGCCCAATTCATTCAAGAGATATCAACAAATAAACTCTGGTCTCCTGGTTATTCATTTCAGTTTGATCATTTTAAATTCTTTTTTTGCGCCAGATGTGAAGACTTGCTCTGTCTCAGTTCCCACTGACTTAAATGGAGTCAAGGAGGTATCCTAAAGCCTTTTATTTGGCCATAAATCTAACAGAGTACCTATTTTAAAGGTTGGCAAGAACTACCTTTTCCTCCAAAATAAGATGATCAATACCACATTTTAAGTCTCACTTAAACTTCAGGACAAATTAAACTTCCTGTGAAAATAACACAAGGAATTGAAACATGAATGACTGGTTTGGGTTTAGGGTTGAGGGTTTTTTTCCAAGTGTGGGAGAGAGGGAGAAAGAATTTCTGGTGAAATGCACATGCTGTTAACATGTGTTATGCTTGTGTAAAAGCCAGAAGCCACCAATCTTCCCAACCACTACTAGCTGCTGGTGGTGTGTGAGCAGGACTCAATATTCTGAATTATTATTTTTTAATTGTTGCATAAAAACAATAAATAAAAAACACATTCAATCAATTCATTATGGGTCTATAATGCTGGTTTTTTTTAAATTTCATCTGTATTTTCCCCCTGCACACAGTTTCCTCGGAACCACTTTGGAAGTCCCCCTCAGGTTTTGTCAGTTCCTCTGCACTAAGCTGCCCATCTTTTGAGGGCATGGATAACCAACACATGCTGTCTCCTCTATTCCTTCTCATCTAGAATTTTAACGTTAATGATTTACTTCTTAATTACCAAACACTGTTTGGTGGAATCCTAACCAGACGGTTGCACTGCCTGGTTCCTACCTGCCTAACTCCTCCTCTTCATTTGTGGCCAACAATGGAAATCCCTGAGCTTTCTTAGTGGAGTATCTCTACCAGTTTAACTCTACTTTGTTTTTTCAGTGCTCCTAGCTACATCTTTCATCAAAACAGCCTTGTGTATAATTCTGTGTATAATTCTCATATTCTTTTTCTCTGCTTTGCCTCTTAATTTCTGTTCCTTAATAGCGATTTCTTATTCCTTGCATTTTCTTTCTTGCGTGATGCCCACAAGAGGGTTTCACTGACAGAAGTTGCCCTCAAAGTCCTTAATGGCTCTTTCTGCATCCCTCCACTCAAATCTGCCTCAAAATGCCAGACTGCAGATGTCCAACCTGTCCTTGAACTTCTATTTTCACCTCTCTGAAATCTAAGAATATGCATAAGAACACCTGCATCTGAAACAAACTATGCTGACCATCTGCCTGAACGGCCTTGCTTCTCCCCTCTCTTCCCAAGTAATATATAGCCCCCTATTTATTCTGACTCTAAATCCCAGCTCCTTAAAATCCAGTTTGCCCAAACACAGAAAGTAATTTGTGCATCAGCCCAGAGATGATTACATACTCTTCAGCTTCACAAACCTTTATTGGATCCTCTTACACTGCCGAATGCAGAACAGACTTCCCATCTTAAGATCGCTACTTATGTTCCCCCAGTGCCAACTAACAAGACTTGCATGTTGGTGAAACAAGCTTTCCTATATGTTTCCTTCTTCACCTGAAACTGGCTCCCTTTTTCCTGTGGTGCTAACAGACCACAACCTCAAGTTTTTTACTTCTCTTCCTCAGAGCCAGCTTCAGCTCAATGTCTGTCTCTTTCCATTTACTTTTTACAATTCTTTGCAAATTATGCAATTGCATAAACACACACTCAGGAAAATAAGTCTGCCTTATTCAGTAATTTGGATCTAGGATCCCAAAGGTATGAACTAATTTGTAAAATAAATCACTGCAGCTCTTTCAGAGGTACATATTTCTTTTTTTGTTCAACTACATACAAATGCAGGAGAATGCATAAAGCTTAACCTACCATACAGTTACCAGTAGGTGGTCAAAACATGTCATACCCATAACTCACATTACATAATTACTTCTGAAAAAATAACTTTGCTTCCCAAATAAGTGTACTAGCACTCACAACATACATCTCTGCAGCACTTAATAAGCCTAACTAGGGCAACTAGGTATTAATTTTCAGATAATTTCACATGCAAAACATTCCTTACTCTATTTTTTGAAAGATAATAAATGTCCTTGACCAACTTCTGTAACTACAGACCGATAATATAATCAGATAAAATGGCAGTAACTAATGCCTAAATATTTTTTCACAAATTACTTTCACTTATTTTTAACATTCATGATAACAAATGTTGTCAAAATGCATGCTTAAGCTTCTATCTGAAACATACAGTTCCATTAAGTAAGCGACTCCTAATTTTTCATGCACCACTACTACATTTGCCTGGGTAAATCAGTTACTCAGTTTGCACATATGATTCTGGTAACAGCACATTAACATGACAAACTGCAACCAGTGTGGGCTATTCATTGCACTGAATTCTTTGCTTGGCTATGACTGCTGCCAAATGTGTTTCTAAACTGCATAGACAAATCCAGGCCCTAGTTCATGAATGCCTTGCTATTCCAAAAAGCTTTTAAAAGCCTGCATAACTAAAGCATGGGTAACACTGAAATCAATAGGATTTAATGAAGTCAGTGAAAGTTAATCTAATGCTTATGCACTTAAATACTCTTTTTAAAAAAACAGTGAAAATTTGATGTAACACAATGCAAAATTAGAAAAGCAAGAAATATTTCACGCTTTGTCAATCTTTTCTTGTTTGCATTTCGAGTGGCTCATGGTAATTGCTTGAAGAACAGTGCTCTATCATCTCAAATACCTGTTTGTTACCTGAATCTTTCTGTGTGTCTCCTGAATTCCAGCAGGCAGAAGCAGGCTAGCGTAAGTGTTTCTATGTGTGGTGGTAGAAAACAAACTGGGCCCTATTGCTATTGTGTTTAGTAGAATATAATACCCACTGGCTTCAGCAGAGTAACTTCTGTATCACAGTAACAAAGATGACTTTCACAGACAGATGAACAGCTGATTGCTTTGCTCCCCTTTCTAAAGACTGGTACGCCCGCCACAGGGATAAGTAAACAAGAGACGTTGATTCCTAAGCAGCAGTGGACTACAGCCCTGGTACCAAGGTAGAGCTGTGTTGATTTCATTTTGCTCTAACATGCCAGGTTGTACACGGCTGTAGAGCAGGGGCTGTAAAGTTTCCCTGTTGTGAGAATGACAACCTGTAGTGGAGGTGCAAAGCAGGCAACGGGGGGCAATAAGTGCTTCAGCCATCCCAAACTAACCTCCCACTGCACGTGATCCAATACTGTGAAAGCAAATTAGGGCTCCTAAGTCTGACAGTTTGTAAATATGATGCTGGGAGTATAAACAATTTGCAGGAAGGAAAAAATATTGCCTGGGGCTTGAGGGTAAAATAAAGAAAAAGGAAAAGAGGGAAAAGGGAAAAGTGCAATAAATATCTCAACAGATAGGTAACTGGGATAAAACAGCCCTGTTAATTTCCCCCCCCCCCCATCTTCCCCAAATTGAATGTTTAAAGAAGGAAAAAAAATAAAAGAACATCTACATCTTCTTGTCACGTATTATAGTTTTCATGTAAACTTATGACTTAGAGGCCATAACTCCAAGTCATAACCTTGCCAAAATTATTTCAAGAAATATGTTCAGCTAACCTTTGGGCTGGCACCTTAGGCTGGCTATTCTCTGCCTTAAGACGTAGAAAGCTGCAAAACAAATATCCAAAAAAAGAAATTCGAGCTTTTTTTTTTTCCTGTAAGGAGGATGGACTTGGCTGGGGTTTTTATCAACTTGTTACATTCCTGGAGACTTAACACACATTCAACATTCAGAGCTTTTCTGAAATAAAAAAAAATTCTGGTACACATTTAAAAATGGAAATACCTTACATCAGTATTTCATTATGAGATTTAACAAACACATTCTGATACATAAGCGTAATTAAATATAATGACGTGATGCTATTCTTATTCAATCAAATAAGGAGCTACACTTTGTCATGTTTCATATGGTACATAGTTGTAAAAATTCTCATGTTTCACACTTCAGGTTCAATGTTTCCATCGACAGAACATAAATGCTTTTCTTAAAGAGACAGTATCCTTTCATTTAAATATAGGTATATACTTTTAACCTTGTGTCTCCACAAAGCAAACATACACGGTTAGCATCTGGATGCTAATTTGAGAGTAATTAAAATTACACCCATTTATAAGTATCTGAACATCTGCAACCAATAAACATGCTGGCATATAAATTTACTGGTCATTTTTATAATGTTTAAATTTTGAATGTCATCTAAATTAAAACTAATGCTTAGAGACCTTTTCAGCTCTTACTACCATATGAAACTAGGTATGCTACAAAAGTTAAATAAGATGGAAACACAGATTTATGTTTCGGGCTTATTTTAAATCAATTTATTTGCCAATAAAATTAATGTTAGCAGCATGGCTTGTTAGGCTACATCGCCTTATTATAAAAGAGTGGGACTTAAGCAACGAGTATTTTAAGCAGTATGTGACCAACACTTAAGGGTTTGCTATGATTGCAACTTATATTGGTTTAAATTAGTTTTAACCAAAAAGTCCCTTAGCGTTTGTTACGGCTGAGGGAGGCTCTCCAAGTTGTTGCTGGGCTTTGAGAGAAGCTCCAAATATGAATACACTACAGTTGTAAATGGTTGAATCATGTTACTGTTAAGATTTCCTTGGGAAACACTGGACTGCAAAACTATTATTCTATGTATGAAGTGCAGGAGGGATGCGGTGGGGAAGTGGAAAAGGATACTGTATCTTTAATGTAGTAAAGTTGTAACTACTTTAAAAGCATAAAGCTTCTAAACTGAAAAAAAAACCCCAACAAACAACAACTGAATAAAAATAGCAAAACCTCATTTTTTCTTGCATAGCAGTATTAAAGCAGTATTGCAATTCTGTATAAAATGTCTTTTCATTGAAAAGTACCAGGGATGCACAAAAATATTGGTCATTTTTTAAGAAGCAGACATACTACATATCAATATTAATTAAACATTGCCAACACAATGCATTAATACAGACTGTAGTCTTGCAACCACAAATTCCGTAACAAAACATTTATTTACTTTAAGGAGGTTTCTGGTAGTGGGTCAGCCTCCTGGAAGCCAGTCTTTTCATGGCTTGTCATGGTTTTATTTTTGTGCATCTTGGACTATACAGAACTGCCATTTCCACTGAAAGCATTGTTATGTGCAAGAAACAGAAGTCCTAAGCAGCTCATGGCCTCTTCTCCCATTGATGTATGAGATTATTTATATGGGTAAACTCCCATCAACATTATCGTTGGTCATACAAAATCTCCTTCTAGGCATCAATGAGAGCACAGCCACCTCTTCGCCCCCCAACCACCACCACCTTGCATTGCTGTAAATAGATTGCACAGTACAGATACACAGTCTTTAAGCTCATTAGGACAGGAGCAGCAGCACAGGCACTGTAAGTTTCTTCACAACTGTTGTAAGAAGGCAGCAGCATGCACAGTTCCCAGCAAAGCATTTGGTTACGCCTACATCTGCTATATCAGCTTGTACAAGCTCCCCTCTCTCTTTTGCAGGTCCTCTTAAGAACCTCCTGAAACAGTATGCTTTCTACTAGGTTTGACTAAATCTAAATGCTAAGCTGACATCCGTCAGTTACATTTCTTAATGACGCAATGCTAAGGGGAGGTGTAAACTGATGGCTTGACTTATACTTTTACTAATGGGCTATTTTACTGTATACCTTCTTGATTGCTCTGTCCCTAGGCTTTTAAGCCAATTCTCATGGTTTTAGTGTAAAGTGGTGGGAAACTACTTTGCTGACCTATTCTGGTTTTGCTCCCTAGGCAGAACACTCAAACCTCAGCACAGGGAGATAACCAGATGGAGTTACAACAGATGGATGCTCTGAAAGAGCACGCTCATCTTCACAACCCCTTCTTAAGACAAACCTTATAGACTTTGTTATCATTTAATAAGAATTCAACACTGAAGTGAGTGAGGTAATAAAGTAACATCACTACTTGTAAAAATCCATGTCCAGTGGGATTTTATTCCTGTCAAGCATCTTCTGTTGGTCAAATTTTCTGTCCACCAGCCAAAATCTGTGTACCCTCTGCTGACTCCAACAGTCATGCAGACTCATGCCAACAGAGGATCTGACAGTGGATCTGCATCCATTTATAGAAACTGCAGATCCAACCTTCTATTTTGTATATATGTGAACACAGCAAGAGGAACCATTTTTGCCATCACCTCTAGCAAAGGAGTTGTCCAAACTGTAATGCAGAATGAGAATTCAAGCTGGTTTATATTGCTTTTCTTAAAAAAATCTTGCTTAACCTTTTAAATCTATGTTAAAGTAGTATCTCCTTTCTACAGTTCTTGGCTGTTAAACTGCAGCTGAAATTCTGAAGCAAAAAGCAGCCTACATCTTTAGTGTACCTTGACTACATATAACTAGCATACAAATCAATTACAAACAGACATGCAGCCAAGTACAAAGCGGGTATATTTTGTTCATGAAAGACACACGCATGTGGAAACCATTTTTCTAGCTTTTGAAAGAACTACAGAGATATTTGCAAGCCAGCTAAAAGCAAGGAAGGTAGAGACCATTAGTTCTAAGAGTAACTTCCAGGGAACCAAGATGGATTAGTGGCAAAAACATCCACAAAGAACTGTTTTTCAGACAACCCCTACCATGGCCTGCTGGAGACTGAAGGGAAGAACTTCCACTTTCATACTGAATAAAAAAAGCATCACACTACTACTTACATAAGTCTCTCCATGACATGAGTGCATCTCTTATCCCATATTTTAGTTTTCTGATAGGCTAACCAGGTTCCAGAGCTCAGTACGCAAGTATATATTCACAGTTGATTTCTGTACACCAGATTATCAGTGAGGGTCAGTCAGCAGTAGTTCCAAGGACCTTCCTGCTGCTTAGACTACCTCTTTAGCTAGCAGAGACACTTGGACAACAAGGCCCAGGTTATCCTTTCCTTGAAAAACACTCAGGAAGACAGCCATCCCTGCAGAATACTGTCACAGACATCTTATTAGGGAGATGAGATGACAGGCTTCAGCAGGTCTCCTAGACTACAGTAGCTAGAATACAGGAATGGACATGACTGTTTTCTATTCTGCACTTGACATTTCTCATCCAGCTCAAAGAACTGAGCTCCAGCCCTACCACTGCTGGAAATTCTCTTCTCCCAGGTATTTCAAACCATTGAAATTAATGCTGACTAAAACATTAAAAAACAAAAAAAAAAGAGTTGAATCAACTTCCTAAGGCAATTTTTTTCTGCTGGCACACAGAAAAGTGTGTTTTGTGCACGATGCATGCAGTGATGCATGCCCCAACTAGGTATTCCCTGTATGCTTTAAAACCCATTGAATGGGTTCTGGCTTAGGACAACATGCCCAGTACCACAGATGCAGGTGACTTACAATGCAAAAGGAGTTATGAACTTAAAATGTACTGTTGGTATCTGCTCTCACCAAAAATGCTCTGCCACAGGAAGTCAAACCCCCCCACTCTGAGAGAAGAAATCCAGAAGAAACTCTTTCTACCCTCACTTTTGCTCTGGGTTATAGTTTTGCTGCATGCACAACAATAACACATAATAATGCAAGACAACAGCCCTATTTTTACACACATCTCATCTTTGTCAACATACCATTTTTCACAGAATTAGGCTTTTGTGTGATTACTCCCACTTACAGCTATTACTCCCACTACTACTTATCAAGGGGCAAGTAAATCCTGCAGGCTGGGCAACAACATGGGATTTTTGGACTGATTTCAACTGGGATATTTAACATCTAACTTTAAAGCACTGATGTTGTGAGTCCATCAGTGTAAAGGATCAGCTGATCATGTGATGAGGTTACTTCACATGAACTAAGAGTTGTTGCTTAAACAACACTTCTGCTGCTTCCAAATTAGCCTTTCTACACACCAGGTTTAACCAATAAACCTGGTTTATATACCAGATCAAAACCCCAGAAAAGCTACTTAGTTACGTTAGCAATGGAATATATCCACAGTTCTAAATCTACATTAGGACACTAAATAAGTGTGGATGGATTTTCAATTCACAAGGAGTAAGAAATGCCAGTGAATTATTTGAGTTATATTTGTTCAGCCCCTTTGAAAATATGGCTATATTTGTATCAATCTCAAAATGGATCTAGTTGCCTAAACATGGTTCTCACTTTGGTGTTCACAACCTGCAAGAAAGAAAAAAAAAAATCCAACCTGTTTCAAAGTTCTTGATTATTTCAGTTGGAGGCGCACCTTCTAAGTGCATTTGCTGGAATTGGGAAGGGCATTTGGAAAGGCAATTTCATGTCACTGAAGAGAGAATATTTCTACTAACTGAGATGCTACAGCTGACACTGAAAGGGTTTGGAAGCAAATTTACAGACAGATCAGACCTACATGCACTTCTTTACATGTACAAGTCTCGACTGTTGTAATTTATTAACAGGAGACAGAGGATGTTTTAAAGGAAGAGTGTAAATTAAAGGAGGGGCCTGACTTCAACTTCTTCCTACATGTTCGTAAGAGTGAAAAAGACAGCCGAGTTATGCTGACTTTGGTTACTAAGCAGCAGTAAGCATGATTATGCTCTGTTTGCACTCCTTTGTCAGTCAAAGGGACATAAAAGGAATTACTCCACACTTCACAAAAGCGAGTTTAGCTAACACAGTTCAGTTTCCATTTGCAACTGTATGGATGGATTATGGATGGAAGATCAGGAACACTGAGTTACCAAGGCTTAGCGAGTTACTGCTTGTCAGCTGTGCCACACTCCTACCTTGTTAGAGCTGACATATACAGATTATATATAAACATCCATCACAATTAAACCGTTACCTTAAATCACACAGTTGGTTTAAACTAACACATTTTTTCTCAGTAGCCATGGGCAGAAGGCATGCCCACATGTGTTTGGTGGAGCGGCTCAGTTGGACAGCAGAAAATGTATACAGTCAGCAGTCACTTGCCCATGGCTCACCATGGTTCAGAGGTCTCCGTAAAGGGGGTCAACGCTGTCATGTATCAGACCCTATATTCTTGCTACACTCTGGCTCCAGCATGGCTGTCACCTTACATTTGTTGTCAGAAAGATAAATTCAGAGGTAATTAGTGCCTACATAGTAAATTAGACATGAGTAAGCAGGTGAGAGTCCAAAGGTGCTGTAGCGCTTGCAGGCACGCCAAGAATGGCTCAAACTAGTTTGAGAAAAGCAGTTCAAGCTCACTGATAAAGAGCTCAGCATTATTGCCTGAATACTTGCAGCTTCTTTTTTGGACTCATTTGTAAATTGGGTCTCACTCCAGATTTTTAAGCCTGACTCTATACTTGTTTTCATCATGCAAATATAATTTATTCTAGAAATGGCAAAGAAAATGCACATCTAGTAGATGAAGTTTGACATGTATTTATGCCACTCATGTTGGGGATAGGACTAGGAGGTTTGCCTTTCTCCATAGAGAAAGCAGGAGAAATAACTGGCTTTTTGGAAAATTTTCAGTGATATCCCTTTGTACAGTAAAATACTCAAGTTTTCCTTTGAGGTCAGGAATGCTGCCTTCCGTGCCAGGTTAATCCTTCATACTGAATGCCACATTCCCAAGGTGGAGAGTTGACTACAGATGTTCTATTTGGCTGCAAGCACTAGAAAGATTCACTTTCATTTAGCGTAATCTCCCACTCTGTGATATGACTGGAATTTTCACCACCTACAACCAGGGCAGATTTTCTTGCTTTATTTTGCTAAGAGTTTGGCTCCCATTTGAAAACTAGAAGGACCTGATAAGTTTTTAATAAGGCCTTCACCCAAATATCTGAGACTCTTCTGAACCAGTGATTCAAAAATTATCAGCACCCAGTGTGTGAAAGAATGGGGGAAAAAAAATGCATTTAGACACCTAAATAATAATTGTATTCTTTTGAAAGTCTGGTCCCAACTACTGTAGATGACCACATAAAATCCATCTCTGCACTTCTTGGAAATGTGCATGAGAGAACAAATCTGTGAATAATGGACTAAAATGCAGTGGAAGGAGGTGAGAATTCACCTAGCTTTAGCCTTAAAAAAAGAGCATTTACAGTATCTGAAAAAGTTGGCACTACAAATGACCTTATTAACAAAATTCAAAGAGTAAAAAATAAAAAATACTTTCTCTGTATTATTACTTTTGTAATTTCAACTTCTAGTTATGAATCTTTTAATAGTATCACTTTATGTTATTCTTGTCTCCCAAAATCATAAAATTGCAACCCCAGATCAGACTTTGTAATAGCAAGAAATTGACTTCCACCTAAACATGAGCTGCAATTTATGGTCACAACACAGGCGACAACTTCTCTAAGGAAAGGGCCACAGTGAGACCGTTTTAGTGTTCTGGGTTATTTTGGTTTTGTTTGTGGTTTGTTTGGGTTTTTTTTTTAAACAACGTGAATTATTAATACTTGCCAGTTAAGCCTTTGTAGCCTCAAATATTTAAATGCTCAATGATTTTCAAATAAAACCGCATTATGAAAGATGGACATAGATTCTATCATCTCTGGAGTAGCCTCAGTCAACCTACTTCACATTCTCCTTCTTTCTCTATAAACATTCAACCCAAAGAAAGAACTACTTGTTATCAGTTAGAGCCCTAAAAATCAAAACAATCCATGGTATGGCCTGAGAGATATCAACCTGAGAACTATACATCAAAAAACAGTATCAGGGATGTTATGTCCCAAAAGTACTTTACACTGCTTTTTTACCAGTCATCTTATATACCTATTAAACATTGTGGGCTTTTAACACACTTGGGAAGGAAAAAGCCAGTCTTGCTGTTTACAGATTTGAACAAAACCTTTGCCGAGAGTCTACAGTTGCATTGCCAATGCTATTTCTATCTTTTGCCTAATATTTGCCACCTACAGTCACTGCCCTGCAGACTAAGCAACTTACAGTATTTAATACCTGCTTTACTTTAAAAATGGCTTGGCAGAAAATGATTTAGTTTGCAGACATTTGCACATAAATAAAAAAAAAAAATGAGGACCAATATTTACAGGTTAGCTCCTGCAAAAACTTAGGGGATATCACTCACATATGCACTCTTAAACACATGAGCGAGCGTTCCCAGTAAGTTTAACAAGCTGAGGTCTCTAAGATACTCCTAACAATTTTAACTTCTACATAGTGCTAGCTGCCACCACAGAATACCTTTTGGAGATGTAGTTAATGATGAAGACTTATCTACTTGGTTATCCTGCAATTATATCAAAGATTCTAGATAGATGTGAGAATCTCAGAGATGTTTCCCTTCATGTGTGACTCAGTAAAAGGATGCTGTCAGGGGGATTTATTCCCTTAGTTTGGGGTTCCTGAAAGAATGTTTGAACTTAATACTAACTGGAATATTTCCATTGAGTTTCTAAGTGAAATATCAGTAATTTGGGTTTCCTTTTTGGATGCAAATATTCTCGCCCGCAGTGCTTGTAATATGACACAGTATAGTGTTACGTCAGGCTATTAGACCAGTGCATGAAATGAACCGGAAACCAAACAGAAACTCCCAAATTCTCATTGCCCTAACTAAAGTTTACCTTACTTGATTGCAATCATTTTTAGTACTGCTAATAATAAAATTTTAACGTGACAACATCCTTCTAAGTAAGTCAGACTCACACGTGCAAAAGCCTAAGCCCTGCATTGTAAGAATGTCCGTGAACGTGTGAAAGACGTGACTAGGTGTGTACAAGCCTTTTCTACAAGTGACTAGAAGCCCCAGCAGCAATGATACTCACGTTGGCATTGTCCCCAGGACAATCGGGCCCAGCCCCAGCAGCAGTCAATTCTACTTCCAAATCGACACAGTCCTGCAGAGGAGACTATTTGTCTGGGCCACCTGAACAAGACAGTTCAAAAAAGTCTGGTGAAACGTTCCGAAAGTAGCTAAAATTACTTCAAGAAAAACAAAAGACAAAGACCAGCAAAAACCTCTCCTGCATGGAGATATACATCCTTTTTCTTGAAAACAGTAACTGCTCTAAGCTGAATCTATGATATTTCTATCGTTAACACTTTGTTTAGTTCAGAAAATGCAAATGACTATAGGCAAAGAGGGGAGAAGATAATTATGGTAACTTTGTAAAGCCTGAAAAAGCTGACAGGCTTTGCAATATGCTCACTGCTGCCACTCCCAGGCTGGTACTAAATAATTTCAGAAGTCTGAAACAGAGAATTTATAACATGGAATAAACCACCACCATAAAGTTTCAGCATTGGTTTATTTCACAATATGTAGCCAAATTTTCCCGCTGAAACGTTAAAGGGAAAAAAAAAATCAAACCAAAAGCTTCCTGAACGGTTAAACAGAAATTAAATACAAAAGTAGAGCTGTAGTCTTCCTTCCCTTGTTCCAAGGAGCAGACACCACAGCCTCACGCAATTACAAAGCGTTGTCACGAATCGCTACTGTTTTTTAACGACAAGCCGAAATCCCGTGAGCGCCGCATTTGGACACATCCCCCGAAGAGATCCTCGGGCAGGGGATCGCGCTGTCGGATTTTCGCGCCCACGGCCCTGTGGCGCTGGGCAGCGGGCTCCTCGCAGCCCCCACGGCGCCACCTCCACCTCAGCAGCCGCTCGCTACACCTGACGCGGCTCAGCACAACCCCCCAGGCGCACGCTCCCCGGGCGTTCGTCTTCACCTCGCTTCATGTTAAAACTTGAGCGGCAGCCTTCGCCGTGTTCTGTTTCAAGTGCCTCGAGGCGTCAATAAGCTAATTTTGTTTTTACAGCACGCAAAGCGCTTTGGGTTTTTTTAGTTCTTGCAGGACGCAGCCCTGCCAGGGCAATAAACTTTTTTATACCCGAGCCCACGTTTTCGGTTGGCGAGCGATGCGCGGGCCGAGGGCGCGGGTACGGGGACGAGCGACCCCGTCCCGGGGAAGCCCGGGGGCCGGCACCGGGTCCCGCCGCCCCCGCTCCCCG